TACGTATGCAGGTATTATATTAGCAGTGTGTATGATTGTGCATTATAAAGGTATAACAAATATGCTGTAGTACTGTCATCATACTTTCACCGGTTTATGGGAGCTTAATATTCCTTCGGTTAGAAATGAGACATGGAAAAGGCCACACATGTGTTATGTTAAACTAAACAAACATTACTGTCAACTTCCAGCTATAAGAAATAAGTTTCAATAAAACTAGTCTTAATCTATTTTTGTGTTTACTTTTTTTTGGTTACAGCTACATTGAACTGTAAGCGAAATTTTGGGGTCCTACAAAAATCACTTCGTGGGTATCTACTAGACGTATTTTTAGGCCAAGGTTTAAATATTTGTAAAACTAAGTTAGGACCCGGTTTGTAAGGTTACAATACACCGTAGATTAAAACAATTATTCTGAAGTCTATTTTCATCATGCTATAGTTCAAATTATGGGGAACTGCATGCTTATCCGAAAATGAATTCATAGAAAATTTCCAAACAATTTCAAGAGGCCTTAAAAATGAATTATCCTTAATTGTAATCCGAACATTTATTTATAAAAAAAAATCTCTTTTCGTCTGCATGTGATGTAAATCAAATAATAAAATAATCCGTGTGTATGCGTGGAACGCTACACGATCCTGCCAACCTAATCAAAAATGGCACAATTGTGCGATGTTGAGAGGCAATGCAACGCATGCGCATTATGGTCTATTAGGAGCATCGAGATAGAATAAAGTAGAGGGGACATAAACACTATTTTGCGATATGACAGATCGAAAGACTTAACGATGCCTAGATCGACGGAAAAGTGTAATCAAAATGGCAACTTAGAGTCGTAATTTGATTTATTTGAAGTCAATAATTTTATATTTGAAGATTAACGTAATGAAAATGGTTCATTAAAATAAAACTATTTAAACAAAATGGCATTTACTTTCACCAAAACTGACAAGCACCACTAGTTCGAGTTTGACACATGACGTAAAAAAGTAATGCGAATATGAGGACACTTTTATCGTCATAGCATCTCAATGCATTATTGGTTGCCTATATCGTCTCGTCCGTCCGCCCGCTTGTTGGTTTGAGAATTCAGGGTGATTTTATAAATTATTTATAGTGGATTGCATAAAAGAAAATTAAATTTTAAATGCAGGATAATACATTTTATCCATGGATATGTATTATGTCTAGATATGGATTAGATAACCCCATGATTTTTGTAAACAAACCACATTTTAATTCTTGGATCCATCAAAATAAATGTCATAAACATGACTTTATCTTAGATGACAAAAACAAAATATAGAGATAATACATATCCATGGATAGAATTTATTATCCTGGATTTAAAATTTAATCTTCATTTATGCAACTCACTATGGACCTTTCCCGTTATTCGACAATTTCGCATTACTCTTGCGCAAAAAAAGCGGGGAATATTAAATCTAGTAATTTTTCAAACAACTTAATTGTTCCCTTTCTTATCCTCGCCTTACAATTGTTGGGTTGGCTACGACGATTACCCCATGTCATCATTAATTCAAACAACTGTCATCGAGTCTATATAGTAGGGGGCCCAGTGATAGTTTTTTTTGTACATATTTGCAAAATGACAAATTTTTCGTTCTTACCTTGTAGACGATGAAAATATAGAAAATAAAAATAGAAAAAAGTTTGCTGCACCTTGGTAGAGATGGATAACTTTCAAGTTTGAAAAATAAAATTATTATAATACGTACGTTTGATTTATGCAAGGCTCATTTTTTCTGTGAAAGAATAATGTGATAGTATATTATTAATGAAAATCGTTTGCTGTAATATATCTGGTGGTAAAATGCCCTATTAGCAAGCAAGAATGTACTGTGAATAGAATTTCAAGAAGGTGACAGCAAACTTTTATCTATTAACTTTTGATGTAAATAATTAAAAAAAAGTTTCAAGCTTCCTCTTCTATGACATCATATTCTACACAGGATTTTTTAAGGGCTCCTGATTCTATTTTCTTTAAGGTAGGAATGTATGATGTATTAATAATTGCAATTTTGCCTTTCGTAAATAACACACCTAAAAGTGACACTGGCTCCCTACCAATACTGCCAAACGCAAAAACAAAATGACATTTGTGGATGTGTAATTGGAACTCAGGGTAGGAAACATGACGATAACAAATTTTGACGATTTTAAGCGGAAATTGAATTTGCACATGAGTAATAGAGATTATCAATAATTTATAATAATAACACACTTAATTAACCAGATATAAATAACTATATATTATCATTATTTTAAGCTTTAAACAATTTTTTAACTATACAGTTTTTCTATTTTAATTTAAAAACTGCTCACCATGTTCAGGTGTTTTTCAAAAAGGTTAGTATTATATTTTGGTAATGACAAATATCTTAAGAGCCAAACCGCGACTTTTAATATTTATGAATGTTAGCAAAATTAAGTTTACCACATAAATTATGACAGTTAACTGTATCTCAAATACTAGTCATAGGAAAACTTTGTGCCCATGAACACTTTTAATTAGGGGGTCACAAACTGCAACATATAAAATTCAGCAGATTCGACCAAAAGCCATTTACCATAAGGAAACTGGTCCTTTAATAATATACAAGGTATTCCATTTAAATAAATATTATTTTTTGAGGGTATTTTAACAAAATTCAGTCTTAACTTTTATTTAAAACATTTTTTTGTATATGCAATATAATGATATTTGTTGACAGTTTAAAAAATACAGTGAGATACCAATAGCTATCAGAAGAGATAATGTGAATATGACGTTTTGTTATATTTTTAACAGTTTTTCTCACATATTGAGACTAATCATTTTAGAGCACATTATATATCATGCATATTGTTAAATGTTTAATAAAAAAGTATAAAAATAAATGTGTTTAAAAACATATAAGAACTGTTTCTTAGTTTAACTTTTATTTTTTATTTTAAATTTGGTTTGTTTAATTTTTAATTCTAAATATATTTTCAATTATAATGAACGGATTCTTATTTCATCAAATTCCACTCCTTTAAAACATGTTAAACAATATAAAATATAATCTAAGCATCACAGTATACATTTTATAAATTTGCCTGATTTACAATGTTCACTGAGAAATTATGTTTCAGTATTAGATTAGTGACACTGTAGAAAATTCATTGAAGCTCCGTATTGTTAACAATAATGAAGCTATATTTAGACATATTGAATATTAATATTCCTAAATATTTACAACTCACATTGCTCCTATACAGGGTGTTTTCGAACTTGGCGTCCAAATTTAGGGTGGTAGTTCGCATAATTTGAGACCGATTCGCAGATTTCATTTTTCCAAAATATTTAAAATAAAAATAATTAAAAATGTTAAACAGGTACGGTACTGCACAGCGATAGGATCAATTCTCTGAACGCGAGGTAAACAATCCAACAAAGCAATACGCACTAGAAAAACAATCGGCTACGTATTTCGATACCGGCCGGGGACTATTGCGGTACGCTCTCAGGGTAGGACCAAAGTATATGGCTTTGGTAGGACCCGCTTTTTGATTTTTTATAATGGCTCTATTTTGTTTATTAGAATTTTTTTAGAAAAATGAAATCTGCCAATCGCTCTCAAATTATGCGAACTATCACCCCTACAAATTTGGACGCCAAGTTCGGAAACACCCTGTATATACAAATTTATATTATTTCAATATTTAAATACAAATATTCAATCAATATATTCTTGGCTTATAAATTTCAATGTTAGACCAATGTAAATATTAAGTATTGTTCTAATTATGAAAATTTATGTTGGACCAACATACTTCATAAATATTTTAAATATATTGGCCTAATATAAAAATTTCAATGATATTAAATATTGCTCTGATGTTGGAAATTTCATAGTGAACTAACACATTTTGTAAATATAATATGTTGGCATGATTTAGATATTTCAATATTCAACAATAGTGTATACTGAGTTGATATGAAAATGACAATATTCTACCAATATGCTTTTAGCAATATACTACGTTTGGCTTAAAATATGAATTTCAACATTTCACCAATATACTTCCACTACGTTTTACCGATATTAAAAAAAAAAGGTTGGACCAATATTGCCAAATGTTCACATTTCAAATTGGCCCAATTTGCAAAAATATAGTCCCAATTTTTGAAAATTATTGACCCAATCTTGGGCCAATAATTATGTGCTACTTGGGCAGTAGGTACCTTGCTGCTTGCTGACAGGGCATTTCACCGCTAGATCGATTTCATCTTTACAGGGTAAAAATTAACAATACAGTTATAATGTAGCCCCTTCTGCAAATGTGTACTAAAAAAGTTTCGACTGGCTCCCTACTATATAGAATTGATGATAATTGTTTAAAGTAACGATGACATGGGGTAATCGTCGTAGCCATCCCAACAGTTGTAAGGTGAGGATAAGAAAGAGATAGCAGGAAAATTACTAGATTCAAAAGTCCCGCGCTTTTTTCGCGCATGAGTAATGCGGAATTGTCGAATAATGGGAAAGATCAATTGTATTTTTTGATGTATTCATATTTCAGATTATGGACCTATAAAAAGCACATTATAAAATAAACTTTTTTTTGTGAGAATCTCGTTTTAATGGAGATTACAATTTTACATGGTACCTGTCAAATAAATGATTGTAACATTGTCTGCTTGAAAATGAGACTCTTCGATAAAATATAAAAAAGGAGACTAATAATCCAAAATTTCATGTTTTTACGATACTGCTTTCTAATTATTCAATTAATAATAACTGAAAGAAATTCTCAGCTATTAGGATTTTTTTGTTACTAAAGCGTATACGTTTTTTAGAAAACGATAGCCGAGGATAGGGCCCCAAAAATATAATGATGCAATAATTCATCGATTCATTCGTTTCAATGAAAATACGTTTTTGCGAGACTTCTTCGCTACCCCGTATAATTATGATTTATACCACTCGCTATCATTTATTTTTGTCAACATCAAATTGACATAAAACTGACGACATTATGCACACAATGAAGTTTTATTTATTTCTAATTTTACTAAAATTAATTTCCTCAAATTCTTTAAAATGTCTTCACAGTCCACTATCAATGAAAAGATACGATCAAGCCGATTTACTAATAGACGACGAAGACAGACGAGAAATTTTAAAAGATTACAAAACTATTTTTGCACCTGAATACAGAATTTACACAAACGATTCGATATGTAGCACTGTAACGGTAGCCAAAAGAAAGAGTAAGTTTGAAGATGAAAATTGCAGAGACGATATATACAAAGAATATGATCCTAGAAGGGACTTTTTTTCGAAGAGTTCAAGGAAAGGATTCGTTGAAGACAGACTGCTGTATGGTAAAAACATGACATCGAAACAGATACTTAAAGATCTCCATATTAATTCCGATCTACTTGAGTCAAACATTACTGGAAATAAGAGTTCTAAAAATGGGACAGTTTTGGTAGGTACGAATTCATTATTAAAATGATAAAAATAGATTAATTTAAAAATAAATAATGTATTTTAAAGTTTTAGATATCTACTATTATAAAAAAGTAAAGCTTTCTTTATAGAAAATTATTTTTTAGAGCCATGCAATAACTAATGTTCCAGAAATTTTGTCTACTGAAAATTTAACTATTAAATCTCTATGGCACACGTCTTTAAACGCGCAAGAAATCAGAAAAATACAGAGTAAAATAATGCAAAAATATATGAACACAGATGTCGATCCTTGTCTGGATTTCTACGAATACGCTTGTGGCAACTGGAAGAATTACTACACAATTCCGCCTGACCGGGCGACTTACGACATTTTCGAAATGGCAAGTCCATAAACGAACATTTTAAAGTTCTTGTAAACATTATTGTTAATGATAGGTTACATATACGTTATATAAATCGCTATTAATATGTATAAGACCGCAAATGTCTGTCCCTACCATAAATATTCAAGCGACTAAGGTGACAGAGTGGGTACTACGAATTAATATGGGCCAAATTTAATACAATAGGCCATTAGGCTTGTCTTGAAGAGGACTGAGTCAGATGAGCCCAGAAAAAAAAATGTGATAAGGCAACAAATCAATTACAATTATAGTTTTATTTTGGAAAGTATTTAAATTTGATTAATCATTTAGGTACAAAACTCATTAGATTCAGTTTTGTACCTCAACAAGACAGACGTTGGTCTTAACGTAAGGTTATTTTTAGGATAACTGCCCTAAATAGTATTATAAAAAAGTGTATCATTGCGTCAACAACTTTTATTCTAGTACAGACATTTGTAAGGACAAAGTTTGCTTCCAGGTCAGAGAAAATTTAGACCAAGTTTTAAACACACTCCTAGTTGAAAAACAAGAAGAACCGCCAACTAATTTCCCATACTTCAAGTCATATAGCTTTATAAACAAAAACTTTTTACCCCAAGATACCTCTGACGCTGTAACGAAAGCAAGACTGTTTTACGAGTCTTGCATGGATGAAAACAGGATACAAAAAAGGGGCAATGAGCCGCTTAGAACACTTTTAAAAGAATTAGGTAGTTACAGGCCTTTCATTTGGTATAACTGTATGACTTGCTAACAAACTAAATCAATTTAAAAAAAACTCACGAGATTTATTAAGTATTTGTGTACTGAAGTTTGACAAAGCAAATTTTGATTACAGGGGATTGGCCCATTTTAACGCCCAACTGGAATAAACCGAATTTTGATGTAATTTGGTTATTAGCCAGACTACGCTTGCTTAATAACGACATTATGATAGCACAGTGGGTGGGTCCTGATATGAAAAATTCTAACGAATACATTGTCCACATTGATCAGACAACTCTTGGCCTTCCGACAAGGGATTATTACTTAGAAGGAAATTACATGAAGTATTTGCAAGCTTATAGGGTGTTTATTTTAACAGGTTTATAACCAATTTTTCTAGTATTCCCTGTACTATAAAATTATTTTGATAGTGGCTGAAATAATGGGAGCAGACTTCAAAATTGCCGACAAAGATGTGGATGAGATCATAGAATTCGAAATAGGTCTTGCAAAAATAACGGCTACACCAGAAGAACGACGCAACATCTCGGATATATATTTAAGGACCGATATAGCCTCTTTGACACTGTATTTTCCACAATTCGATTGGAAAATGTATTTCGACACTGTTTTGGGCACTAACATTAATTTGAGGACGCCAGTGGCGTGTTACTGCGCTAAATTTTTACACGAACTCTTATATATGTTGAGTAAAACATCTCCGAGACTCTTGCAGAATTATGTTCTATGGAGATTTGTTAGACACAGAACGAATAATTTGGACAGAAGGTAAATTTATGAAATGCAACAAATAAAATAATATATTTAAAACCGTGGTTATTTGTACAGATTTATGGAAGCCAAACAAAGATTCTATTACATCCTATTTGGACGTGAAAAGAGTCCACCTAGATGGCAGTTTTGTGTCACTCAAGTAAATTCTAATATGGGCATGGCTTTAGGATCCTTATTTGTAGAAAAATACTTTGATCAAAGTAGCAAAACTGATACTATTGAAATGACCAAGGACTTGCAAGAAGCTTTTAAATCGACTATAGAGGTATTTAATGAAAATAAGCTTAATTTTTTTTATTCAAATGTGTTTGGCATAAAATTTACTTTTGCTAGGAAAATACATGGCTAGATAACAACACCAAAGAATACGCAATCATGAAACTCCGTCATATGGACCTAAAAATAGGATTTCCCGATTTCATTTTAAACAAACAACAATTAAACATGCGGTATTACGATGTAGAAGTGCATCCAAAATACTTCTTTGAGAATGTTATGACATTTTTGAGACATCTTACGAAAGTAGAACAAAGAAGAATGGGTACCTCTGTCAATAGAACCATGTGGAGCACTCCGCCTGCCATTGTAAATGCTTATTACAGTAGGAATAAGAACCAAATTATGTTCCCGGCAGGTAAATTCATAAATGTCCTTTATTGAAGTATGTGATGAATTATTTTTAATATTTCGTTGATACAAATTTAGAGTTATACAGTATGTTAACCCATAGATCCTTCAAAACAAAGATGAGACGCTTAATCATACGTACACGAGAGGAAACAAAGATAAAGTGATAGAAATACGCCAAATCCTCTGACAAAAGAGTATGTATCGTATTTTTAGTTACAGTTTGCACGCGTCTTCTTATTTCAATTGCGCTTTGTTGTTACTTAGAAGCGTAAACTTTATTAAGGTGCGTTGTTAACGAATACAAAAAGACACTTTGAAAAAATTAATAATATATTTTATTTGTTGCACTAGTGTCACATTCGACACTGTATTCGAACTGTCATACTTGTCAAAAGTATATGCTACACTCAAGTATGCATCAAATATTTGAAGCTACACTGAACAAATCAAATGCGAATAGTGCAGAAAACTTACACCTAGTGCAACAAATAAAATCCACTATAAGATTACGTTTTACATTTTGTCTACAAATAGTAGAAGAATTTACTTTCATACTTTAAAAATAAATTTCCCAGCTGAATATTGAGTTTTAGCATTTTTATAGTTTTTTAAAGATAATCCAAAACGGACGCAAATTCGTGAAACATATTATTTGTTAAAAAAATATATTATTTAAACAAGAGGCACAGAAAATATTTATTGGATAACTCATATAAATTTTTTTAATCAATATTATTTTCTTTACAACTGGACTCTCAGACTTATAACTACTTGCTGTTGTACCTAAATTAATAATAATTGATACTAGATCAGAAACATCTAATTGAATCGCTTATTGTTAAAAGGAACTAAGTCACATTTTTTACGTTTTTCACTTTAAAACATGAAACGAAACTTTGAAGATATTCCTTTCGTTTGTTGAAGAAGGTACCGATAACTACCGCCAAAATACTACACAATTAATATAGTCAGACGGTTTCTTCTTAAATCAATCGAAAGGAATATCTTCAAAGTTTCGTTTCATGTTTTAAAGTCAAAAATGTAAAAATGTGACTTAGTTCCTTTTAACAATAAGCGATTCAATTGCTTGTATTTTTCCCAATCGGAAACAATTATGTTTTTAGTATGTCTTACATAATTCTGAATAGAAACTGTCTTAAAATTAATTAATCATGATTGTTTGACTGTTTTAAGTAAAGTTTTAAGTAAAAGCAAATTTGGTAGATTTTCACAAAACTTTTATTTAAAAAAAAATAAAAATTAAAAACACTACACACGACATGTTTCGAAGTACAACTTCTTTTTCAAATGTGACTAATTTACAATTCGGTGTCCAATATATATGAGAAGTAATTTAATAAATGTTTTAGGCATGTTGCAACCCCCTTTTTACAATCGTCTTTTTCCAAAAGCATTAAATTTTGGAGGAATAGGAGTAGTCATAGGACATGAAATGACTCACGGATTTGACGATAAGGGTAGACTGTTTGATCACGAGGGCAATCTACATATGTGGTGGAGAGAATCTTCTATACAGAAATTTTACGAAAAATCTCAATGCATGATCGATCAGTACGGACAATATGTGCTGCCCGAAATACATTTGACGTTAGATGGGTACGTACAATACAGAAAATAATACACTAATCGCTTAATCCACAAACGATCTCTATCAGTTAAACATTTTCATAGGTATTGTTTGGATCTTCTTCTACATCTTTTAACCATATTTATATTCCTATTCATCCTGGCTCTATTGTAACAATGGCACACTCACCGATTTTAGTTTCATACTTGTTCCCTAAAGTGATTCGACCATCTAGGCATGTAGTTCTAACTCGAAGCTATTATTTCTACTTCAAATATCTCCTTTTAGTTGTAGTTCCCATAGTAGGTTATGGAAAATCCCTAGTGCAATTTTAAGAATTTTTCTTTCCACTATAGGTACTTTAAAACTGATCCTTTATCTGCTATTTATGTAGGTAGTATTGGATAGCATTACTATGATATAAACAATAAAAATTCATTCGTGAAGGCACAATATGCTTCACGTTTACATTTTTATATTTTCTTTCATAAAAAATCAAATTATGCCCGCAAAAGGAATAGAAGAATAAGAAGAACTAATCAAATTATAGGTTAGGTATGTCAAACTATCCCACCATAATTTGCCCAAATCGGCCAGCAGTGTTGCCGGTCTCCTTGGTGGAACGAATTTTTAGTATGTCAAATATAGCCTATATCCTATCCAGTAAAATAACACAGATCAGTGATATTTTTCCGCCTATATATGCTTCACTTCTGTTAGTAGGTAATGTCATTAAAACAAACTGGCTGTGTTGTCACTTAGAAGATTTTGCACAATGATAGATAATAACTTTCTGCAACAGATGGCGCTCAGAACTAATTTTCGGTAAAAATGGTAGGGACGTTATGAAATTGCTAATTTTTTCTTTTTGTATTTCAATATAAATATATATTTATATTATATAGGTTGTATCTAATATTTTATATATTAAATGCCTTTTAAAAGTAGACTAGGTCACGAGCCACAACTGCATTAACGATTGGAAAACTATTAAAGATAAACAAACTTGTTACTGGAGAGCTTTACTTAGATCTACAGAGAGTGTTTGAAACTGTTAATAGATATTTACTAATTAGAAAATTAGGAAGTGGCCAGAATTAGTGTATACAGGCTGGATATCTCCAACAGCTGGAACTCAGAATTACACATGAGGTAAATGATCCTATAATAAACATGGGATCAGATCATATAACACCCCGCCTAACCTTCAACAGACACTTCCAGGTCAACTGCAACTGGAACGAGATAAATAGAGGTAGAGAAATATTTGCTTAGCAGTCTCGTATGGTATATAGATGGATATAAAACTAACAAGGGAACAGGCTCTGGCGTATATGCGACATCCTCGACTCACTGGGAAAACGTATCATTGTATTTCAGGTTGAATTACACGCAATTGAATTGTGTGTACGAGAGACTTTAAGATGGAAGTACAAAAACAAGCCACCTTAATTCTCTCAGATAATCATAATCAAGTCAAAGCTAGTCAGTAACTGCATTGGAATACCAAATGATCTGGCAACCCACAATAAGGTTACTAGCGTGAGTATGAGGACAAAGGTATCCAACGAAATGAAAAGTCTGATGAACTCGCCAAAGAGGGATCGGAACTACCATTCACAAGACCCGAACCTATATTTGAGATAAGCAAAACCTCTGGTCGACAGGCAGTGAACAGGTAGATAGCCACAAATCACCAAATTCACTGGCAACAGATAAGAGGGCACACAATCAGTAAGCTCATGCTAAGGGATTAAACTCACTCATGGTATTGAGGTATTACAATTTGCAAGGCCTCAGATATCCACCATTTTGGGATTACTAACGGGACATTGCTTGCTAAAACACCTTCATATTATAGGATTACACAATGATCCCAACTCATGTAGAATCTGCATGGAAGAGGAAGAAACCTCATGCCATGTGATCTTTGAATGCGAAGCTCTTGCTAGGCGGCGTCTCACCCTTTTCGGCCTAGAACCGGAAAGAACGCCCCAAGAACACTTGGTTCGGAACTTATTAAAAATAACCAAAGGCACAAGACTATTCCAAAGATAGTACCTGAATATGGAGAAAGCAGGGGAATACAATATACCCAAGAGGCCGCAGTGTTCTGGGGCAAATGTAACCCTACCTGCTTCCTGATGGTCCCGTCAACCACTTCACAAAATTTCAGCCAGAGGTACGATCTTACCACTTTGCTGCCACTACCTACCTCTTAGACTATCAGTAGCAATGGGCAAAACTCAGTATCTGTTAAAGGTTTACAAACATTTAATAAACTACAAGTACATGTGAAAAGTGCTCATTCACATAATCCAAAAGATATTTTATTTATTTTATTCTTTTTTTTTATTACTAAACCTCAATTATTTGTATTATACTAATTACAGTAACGGTTCTGTGATATCGCCTAACTCTAATTTTTCTCTGAATTGACGTTGACGTTTATATCTTTAAGGATTTAGAGACAGGTAACTATTTAAAATTGCTTTCTGAATACGGATGTTAGGTAAAATATGGCATAAGTTTAATTTCTATGATGTTTACCACTTAATGTATCTGTAAGATTTAAATATGGATCTAATATGTTTGAAAAAAATTGTAGGTATATGACCCAAGGAGAAAACATAGCAGACAATGGTGGCCTAAAACAAGCCTTCAGAGCGTATGAAACATGGTTGTATAATAACCCTGCTGCAGACGAAACGTTACCCGAATTAAATTTAACCAGTAAACAATTGTTCTTTCTCAATTTTGCTCAAGTTTGGTGCGGACAGCAGAGGGTCGAAGCAGCAAAGAGTAGAATTAAGATATCAGTACACGCTCCCGGAATCTTTAGAGTAATCGGAGTGTTGAGTAATTCTGAAGAGTTTTCGAGAGAGTTTAACTGTCCCATCAATAGCCCCATGAATCCAGAATTTAAGTGTATAATATGGTAAAATACAGAAAAGCAAAATATTCTTAAGTCATATGAAATAAGAAAAGACGTGTCGATAAATAGTTAGGTTTTCAAAACATCACTAGAGAGCAAGTGAATTATAAAAAAAAACTCAAAAACTTGACCTGAATGTGGAGTCTAATTATTTATTAGAACTCTCAAGAAATTTATTTTCAACTACTTTATTAATATAAAAAATATTGTATAAATATATCTATATTAATTTAATAAAATTATATTCAAAAAATATATCATCTAAAATCATTAATAAATTAACTTATTGTTATTTATAACTAGAATTTTTAAAAACACCACTTAGTAAAGAAGTGTCCAGTTTTGTTTTGTAATTTAATGAGTTATGGAACACCAAATTGCTACTTCCTAGACGGTATTATCATTCAGTCATCTAATTTATCGTTGATTTTGATATTTAAGGAGTTACTTTTCTACCAGTTTTTGCTTAGTAGTGTATCATCAAATAGACACCAGTTGTTGCGGCGTCACTAAATCTTACTGTGATGATGAAGGCCGGAAGAACATTTAAATCGTATTACAGATTAGGAAAAAAGTATACGAGCCATACGGTGTACTTACGCCCATCTATATTAACTGTAGACTGCAGTCTGCTAATATTTGTAACACGTCGGAGAGCATCTTAATAGAATCGGTCAGGATAACCTACACTGTTGCATATAAGCCATTTGGTTTGAAAATACTGTAGGTGTTTTTACAATTTTATTTTTAAAATGACACTCTCGGTTTACACTAAAGAGAAAAAGAAACATATTCCCAATTTATTTACTTGGGCACATGAAAATCAATCAATTCCACACTGCTTGACAATTAAAAGAAACAATTTGAAAATATTGGATACCTAAATTTTCAAAAATATAAAAAATGTCATGTCTAATAAATTATCTATACAACAGTTATTTGAAGAATTATAAATCGCAACGACCGCAGCATCTATGCGTCTCAGATGTTAACTATATGTATACGTTTTTTTTTGAGAGATCTTACAAGTACAGTAGAAAAATGTTATTTCGATAAAAAAATCGTACAATTGGTACATGTATAGCATAATATAACTTAAATGGAATGAAAAATAAAAAAAAACTTTGGCATGATAATTTATTTATCCATTTATAAAAATGTTTACAACGAAAAAAAAAAAACAAAAAAAAAATGAAACTTTAAATAAACACATTTAAAGTAATCAATGACTGTCACTTGAAAGTGATTGAAATTTTGCATGCAAGCTTTTCTTATGCCGTGATAGTCGGTGTTGGTACAAAATCACCATGGTCAATCACGATAAGTGGGAACGAAAATGACTGCCTTCAGAAATTACGAACGGCCTATGAAACTTTGCAAGTAGTTTTTGATTTTTATTCTTTTATGTTCTGAAGTTGTTGCAGATATTTAAATAAACCTACTAAAAAAGTGAAAATCGTATTTTTATGTACGATCTCACTGATGCAATCGTATTTTTATGTACGATCTCACTGATGCAATAGTATATCGTACAGAGAGTTAAAAAAATCGTATAAATACGATTTAAATCGTACGGTTGGCAACACTGAGACAGGCAGTAGACGTGGACAGCAGTGAACAGTTTGTAAATATAAATGTCAGTTAGTTTTATGTATATCGAAGAATCCTCAATTTAAATTTTAAATTTTGAGTTCATGATTGTGTTATCCTCTAGAAGAACTAAGCGAAATGGTTGTGGGTGTTTTTGTGTGAAATTTGAGGATAATAATTATACTTTGTAATATTGCAATAAGTCGGAGAACGTATTGCATTAATAACACATGCCACATGAATAAATTTAACAACCTCAATGTGGCGTTCTTTTTTTTTTTTTTTTTTTTTTTTGTAATGGGATGGCATCAGGCATGGTGCCATCCCATTACAAAAAAAAAATCTAGTCATGTAAGTAACACAAATAGTAACCAACTTTTGTCACAAAATAAGTATTTATGGATTATTTATTGTTTTAGAACAAGAAAATGGCTTCAAAACGTTAGAAAGAAGATTTGATATAGGAAGAAAAAAATCTGAATTCCCATTATTGAGTTTGCATTCAACATTTTTAAATAAGACACCATTAGCCATTCGTTTGGAAAATAAAAACGAAAATGTAATGTTACAAATAACGATACGATGAAAGCACCACATAGTGGATCAGATGTTAACTGCGTTAAAGCTGGTCGTTGTTAAGCATTGTCTTCTTATGAGCGTTTCCCATCTTTATCTCTGGTTAATACATATGACGACACGAATAAATGGAATACCTGACAGAACTTATGTCACAATAAAAATTGACGGGTTGTTAATTTTTTTCCAGAAGTCAATGAGTTAAGAAATTGCTGTATACCGACAACTTGTTGAATATATTAATAACAACAAAATACTATCACCAATCAATCAAGTTTTCGACAGGGTCATTCATGTGAATCAGCTTTAAAACTAACACTTACTAAATGGTCTAAATTAACAGTATTTTAATTTATGTCGATACAGTGGATGATACGCTGATGGTGGGTGAGGTGTAAGTCAAATGGACCCAACAATTATCTGTAAGTGGCCCTTAATAATAACTGTACTTCCTCGAACAAGCTCTTTAGAGCGTCACTCGTTAGCAGGCGAATTAATATATGAAGAGTAATATAATTATTTCAAAACTTACCTTGGACTTCTATTATTATCCAAACTAATCCTCCTCATCCTTTCAGCTTCCGACTCCCTCTCCCTAGTATCGTAAGTATGCCTCCTATCTTTCAAAATATCTGCATCCCTATTCTTAGTTCTGATAAACTCCAAATCTTTTAGCTCCTCTTCCAAGCTCTGTTTCCTTTCGATTCTTCCGTAAGTCTTTTCGCGGCTATCTTGTAGTACATTTTTCCCGAAAGTATCACTCTGTTTTATCGACCGGGGTTTGTGGATGATTAGACTCGTAGGTGGCGACATCTTATGGGAATTCTGTTCGAAGATTGCCGCTCGAGATTTTAAACTTTCCGTCATTGGCTTGGAAATGGGAGGAGAACGATCTTCTTTAGGTGATTCTTGTGTTTGCTTCGCTTTAGAGAATTCCTCGAACTTTAAACTGGGTTTAGAATATTCTTCTGCCTTTGTATTATGTTTGACATCTTCCTCTGTACTTATCGTCGCTGAATTGGTTGCCGGCTGCGAATTGGCAACTCCCTCTAGTCTAGAATTGTCTTCGACGTGTTCTTGGGATACAGGCTTCGTAGGCTCTTCTAACCTCAAAGATGATTGTTCTTGATTGTCGCTGTCCTCGCTGCGAAAACTACGTCGCCTGTTGCGGGGAGGTCGGTCCGATTCAGGTGTTTTTAATATCTCCGTAGTTTCTTCTTTGGGTTTAAAGATACGCAATCGAGTGAGGAGAACTTCTTTGTTTTCCTTGAACGACTCCGATCTGAAAGTTAAATTCAAGGTATTAATATAAAAAGGAGCCACTATATAAAAGCAAAAATATCTAATATTACAATTGCCTGAATCCTAAAAGCTAAACGAGTCAGAACTATCAGATATTAGCATAGTTTGTGTTATGAAAAAATGGTAGTTAAAATCACATAGCAATAAATTAATTTCTGTTGGACATTAATATTTAAATACCAGTGTACCAACGTGGCCGATGATAATGCATATGGTTAAAATGGCATTTACGTTATTGCAATTAAGTGTTCCGTGTTATTCCTGTAACCAGAGTGCATATAGAGTTGTTTACATCTCTTGCCAACAAAGTAATCAACTTTTAAGCCACTCTCGTTACAGAATTAGCATATATAACATTTTAATTGCAATGTCAAATTCAAACACTAATTTTTATTAGTAGTAACCTCACCAATAATTTAGTTACCTGTATCTGTCCTGCAATATTCTTCTTCTTTCCTCTTTATACCTCTCTATCCTTTCCCTCTTCTTCTGCTGCTCTTCTTCACTTAGACTACTATTAATATTCTCTGAACTGTGCGCCAAATGCAAAGAACTGACTTTACCGTCATCCAGAGGCAAAGATTTAGGTTGGTTTAAAGTTTTCGGTAACGAATTAGTTTTGTATCCCATACGATCGTCGAAGGAATTTTGTTTACCGATAGAATTCGAGCCGAACTCTTTTTCGAAATCTTCTTCGTCTAATGACCGAGTTTTTAATTGGTGCTTGAGTTTGCGGGCTCTTAAACAAGGAGGAAGGCTATCTTTTTCGTAGAACTTCATTAATCTAGAAAAGTAAGATAACGGCAGATCTCAAGACAAAGCGGTAGAGTAAAATTTGCGGAAAAATATAATTCAAGATAAGAAGGAATTCCAAGGTCTCAAATGTGGCCAACTTCAATGAGAAAAATGAAACTCTAAATCAATTCCACATAAAATTATTTATTAACGGCTAGCTAGAGTTGTATTTTTCTCAAAACAATCTCGAAGAACAAATAATAGTAAAAATGTTAAAAAAACGAGTAAGCAATGATCTCATCTTTTGCTAAATAATTCATTTGTAGGGAGTCTTCAACAATACCTGTCACATGATCTGGTAAAACAATAAATTGAATGGAAATGGCCTTTTGACAGTTCTGTCAAATACGCCAGTGGCATTGTTTCGGGTTACTACGCAAGTTATTAATTTTACTTTTACCACACTAGACATTAATTTGATCACATGTGATAAGTTGTTGTTCATCGAGATAGAATAGAGACGACATAAACACTATTTTGTGATATAACAGTTGGACGCACTTCAAGTGACGGAAAAGTATAATGAATATGGGGACTTGAGTCGTACTTTCGACGGAATAAAAATGATTTTATATCATTTAAATGGAACTATTTAAAAAAAAGCCTTTATTCTTACCAAAACTGAGTAGCTCCCGTTTGACATATGACGTTAAAAGTGTAATGCAAAGGTGCAGACAATTTTGCATCGACATAGCATCTCTTCTTTATTCTATGAGTGTTGTTGAAGACTCTTTTTTAACATTTTTTTTTCTCAAAGGTTTGCCCATAGATATATCGTTTGAGTTTAAAATGTAAAACTTATGGCAGTGTTTACTTATTCAGGTGCTTTAAATGGCAGGGAATTGGATTATTTTTTAATCTTAGACCTGGGAGATAATTTAAAAAAAAAATCATTTATTCATGACTGAAAGTTTATATTATATACTGTGTCTATTTAAAATATATTTAATTAACCCATTTTAACCAAGCAATTAAAATATTTTTACATACTCTGAGTGTTAATACATCTATGTTATGAGCTTATCTGTCAATTAACTATAACATATCGGAATTAATAATCCTATTTACATAAAAACTAATAAAGGTCATTAAATTTATAATAAAACATTAATATATCAGTTTAATTAGGCATTTAGAAGCAAATTTGTATTAATATACTATACTGTTCATTATTCGCGCTCATAAGCAGCCAATGGAATAATTACAGTGTTACAACTTTGCTAATTATCAGTTAAAAATAATATGACATTTTAATGCTGAATCGTTCGAAAATGTCCAGATATATACAGGGGGTCTCATTAAGAATGGGACACAGAACAACTGAACATTATGTGATTAAAAATAAGACGATTAAACGAAACATGCTTAGGTGAAATGTTACTAATTTCTGAAATACAGAGTGATAAACTTTAAATTTCAAAAAATATTTTTTCTACTACCGTGCGTTAATTGAAAAAAAGTTATTTTAGTGAAAAAACTAACTTTTATATTTATAATATTAGTGGATAATGTGTACGGTAGTAGAAAAAATATTGTATGCAACTCGTGTGTAAAGCCTTTTTTTGGCTCATGTGATTGTCGCACTCGCCTACGGCTCGGGCATTCACATTCGTCATTAAAGAGTAACTTTACATATTTGTTGCATAAATAACTATTTTATAACTTAGTATAATTTTACTAAAGTCGGAATACGTTTTTGGTGCCATAAGATACCTTTTAGCAAAAAAATCAGTTAAATAAACTTTGAAATGAAGACATTTAAAATAAGACATCTGAAATAAAGACATTCGAAATAAAGATATTTGATAAAAAGACATTTGAAATAAAGACAAAAATCTCACCTAGGACTATTGTCAAGATTTGTACTATCTTCAGAGTCTTCTACGGGTAATACTGGGTTTTCACTAGGCACAGTAACAATATCTACAGCTACCTCTTTATTCTTATCTTCTACTGTACAACTCGATTCTCTTACTGAATCTTCTTTTTCAGTCTTGATCTCTACATTTTCATACACCCTTTCATCACGCAAAACTTTCTCTTCGACAATTTCATTCACATGCACATTCTGTGGTTCCAAAGAATCATAATTATTATCTTCGACACATTCATTCTTGACTTCAGGTTGATCACAATTTTTTTCTTTACATTCAATTTCGTCATTTTTTACTTCTAAATCGGGTGCTCCGTTACCGGTAACATCTCCAGGATTGTCTTCTAAGTCTAGTAGAGCGTTGACTTCGTGGATAGACCGCCTGAAATATTTAACCTGTTGGTATATGTTCTCGTCTGTATACTCAGTCTCGTCCGATTTTCTTTTATCGTTGTTGCATAACTTAGCTGGACTTAGTTCTATTCCCGTTTCCGTCGGGCTAAATTCGATTAAATTCATATTTATTGGGCATTCTTCTGCTTCTTCAGTCAGTAGATTTTCTAAATTTTCAAGGCTGAGCCCTTCGCTGGTGTTTTTCGTTTCGGTTGGGCTGACGGGTGTCAGAATTTCGTGTGAAGAACAGTCGTAAATTTGAGTTAAACTGACGTTTGGACTTGGGGTGTTCTTCATCGGACTTCCGGGGTAGCTCAGCGACGTTTGGCTCGTAGTTAAATTGTCAAATGAGCTTTCGACTACTTCACTTAAGCTGAAATCGCTTGGACTGCAACGCTCCGAATTGTCAATATAATGGTACGGTGCGGAACTAATACTCGCGGTGTATTGTATATTGGAAGCTGACGAGTGGTTAGAACTGACAGTTTTTTGATCGTTGTAGCTACCAATGGACAAAGGTTCGCTTGTATTGCAAATAGCGCTCGAACTGAGATTAGCTTTGATTGTGGAATCTTTACTGGGCGATAGATCTTCAAGAGCGCTTAGACTTTTCGGTCTATCCGAAACGTAATCACCATTCACTGACAGCGAAGCTTCTTGAACGGGAAGAGAAGCGGTAGATGTCGGAATATCCACTTCTTCGGTATTTAAAATGACGTTTTCATATATATGAGAAGTGGGATTTTTCAAAGGTGATGTAGGAGTACTTCGAGGTGGGGATTTGTAAGTTATACTAATTGTAGTACGAATATTTTCGTAATTAGGTATTTTTTGTATGATAGGTGATTTTACTTCTCTCTTCTGGAAGGTACTTTCAGTCGGAGAACTGTCGTAAGCCGGGGAAATACCGGGCGTAGTATTAGAACTACTTTCTCCTAATTGCTTATACCCTGGAGATCCTGGGGTAGGAGTTGTCAATAAACTATTATCCCCCAAATATGCCTGGTTTAGATCAATATCAGTAAAAGATTTCGTCATGACTGTTTTACTGTTATTATCTAAATCCAAAGACTGCCTCTTATCTAAATTATCCGAGTTTCTTGGCGATTTGTTTTTGGGTTGGTAGGAGTCAAATAATTTGTTCGTTTGAAGTACAGGGCTTTCAGGGAAAGCATGTATCACAGCCGTCGTCGAGACTACGTTGTCAGGAGTATTACAATCGATGTATTGGATGTCCGAGAGTTGATCTTCGAGTCTAGTCCGCTTCCGGGATTGAGATTCCGGAGAAAATACGACGCGAGGTTGTTTCTTCGGTGATGGGTTTACGGAGTTTGTCGTGCTGCTGTATTCTTCGGGTCTAGCACGGGTTAAAACTCTTCTCTGAGACTGAAATGAAGAAATTAAAAGTCACTAGATTTTATTTTATATTATTTCTCTACTCAATGCAATGCAGAGGAACAGTTGCTCAGGCATCGTACATAAACAAGATTAGCAGAATCACTCGGGCAGAAGCCGACGAGTTCCTCTCTACCTCGTCTAAAAACCCAGCAGGTATTCAGTAGGCGATGTACTCTGACACTGTTCATATGGTTCATAAGAGAGCCGACCAACGCTTATTTTTTCGAGAATTCGACAACAAAATAATGTTCAAAGAAGACAAAGGCCACAATCAGAGTGACCCAACTACTTATTTTATAAACGATGACCAAGATGTTAAGATTTGAACATATCAGTAATGAAAGTATACACGAAATGATGGAAGTAGATACCATTTCACACAAAGATATTAATCTAGCATAGACATTTTCAAAGACCGAATGAAAATGGGCGGACAAAGAAGGTGAGGGACATCCCCAGAAAAACGACCGTGAGAGATCTGGGAAAATCGAGGTTGTGAAAGTTGAGAAGCGTAACACAACTCTAATATACGGGTGTAGATAATTTAAATGAACACTATTATGCTTTCTTAAATCACTTATACAAAGTCGGTTAATTGTGAAAAAAATCCAAATTATAACCATAGTGATGTTTTAAAGTTTAACATATTAGGACCGACTTGCAAAATATTTGAAGTCAACTTTTTTGGCTGCGGTTTCAAAAAAATAGCAAAAGAATGGTATAAATGTGTTTTATTTGACTATATATAGATCTTATGTTCCTGTGAGTAAATTTTAAATCTAACGTTTCATGGTTGAAAAGCCACCGTCATAATTTTTTTTAATACGGACCTTTATTTTTATTTAGTTTTTGAAAGTACTCCTAATGTCTGATACAGTCGTGTAATTTTCATTAACATTTAGACTTTTAGATAGTAGAAAATTATCATCAGTAAAATTTTGAGTATGGATCTACTTATTTATATATTATTTGTCAAAATCAATAAAGACAAATAAAATAATGGAAACCAATTACAACACAATGTATTGTTAATATTCTTAGTTGAATTGAACAAAAACAATTTAGTAACAAAACTTAAAAACATTTATAATTGTAATGCAAGTTCTAGTTCTGCAATAAATGTTCAATGTCCCCTAACTCCATGTTAAAGGCATAAATAATTAATTCTTCTCGTTACCTGGCTTATAAAATATTTTAAGGAACGTTGTTAAAATTTTAACTATAAGCAAAAAAAAATTGTTTTGCGTTTTTAATGTAATAAAATAAATTACCCAAATAATAGATTTTTCAGCAGCTTTCTAATTGATGAGCTCTATTCATACATCGTACAATTTTCTTCTGCATAATGAATGCAAAATATAAGATTCGCAAGATTTGGACGGAAACTTTATCCCTAAGACTTCTCAAAATAAAGCAAGTACTACTCAGTTTTGAGTATAGTGTATTGATATGAAGTTTCCATGTTAGTTTAGGATCGAGAGTTACACCTAAACATTTCATTGACTGAGTACTTTGTATTGATTTTCCGGAGAGTTTAATTAGTAGATATTCATCAGGGGTATTATTTTCCGGTAGAAACACTCATATATAAGTTTTTTCGCAATTTAACTGGAGACCGTTTTCCTTACAATATTTTTCAAAATCCATTGTGAACTTTTTTCATTTTCTACTAAGGTTTCGACACATTTCTCAGACAGTATCCATATTTGCATCATCGCATAAAAAACAGCTTTATCTAATGTTTCACAAGTAATGTCATTTATAAAAACTATAAAAAATATTGGCCCAAGTAATGTGCCTTGTGGAATGCCCAATGCATTACTCTGGCATTCACATGTAGCCCCATCAATAGCTTTTTAGTTCTGACAGACTTCGAAAACTTGTTCTCTAGAGTGTGTATAACAGGAGCAAAAGTTGGAAAGGCTTTTCGCAGTTCTCCCACTTCATACACAGAAATTGACAGTTTTGCGGCGAAGCCAGACGAAGTTGACGAGATATATTGGTGTACAAAATTATTTTATAGATGTTAATAACAATTTCGGGTAAATAGTTTAATAAATTATAAATATCTGTTGAAATTTTGTAGAATTATGATTTGGGATATTATAATAATTATTATTTCTATTCTATAAATACATGCGATTGTGCGGTTCCGCCCATAAAAATTTAAAATTACTTATTCTATGAAACATCACTGGCAGATAAACATTACCGCGAATTTCTCGAAGTCGTCCGATGGTGTTTAACGTTTACACCCTCTCTACCTATCAAAAGCCTATCCAACTTCTGTCCCTGCTTTTCGCTCCGTGCGAAGTCATGGAAAGGGAAACAAAAGCGATACTAGCGCTAGCTGCGGATAATTCGTGCATTTTAGGGGGATATTTTGTAATTTTGGCATATCAAATACACGTATACATTTTACTTTTTTTCAAAAAAGTAGGTAAAAACAACACAATAAGCAACCGGAGTTGCTGTGTTGAAAATTGTACAAATACTAGCAAAAAAAAAACAGTGAAACTTATATAACAAATTTCACTAACAAAGTGGAAATTAAATCAAAGAAATAAATGGATAGGTGTACAATAAGAAGAAAAATTACCTTTATTTTTGTGATAATAACAGTAATGCTGGAAATAGTAGACATCAGAAACTAGAAAGTTTTTAAATAAACAATAAATTATCATTTTACGATGTTCTTTAATATCCCTTTATTCTTAAATGTTCATTCAGCAAGGACTAGATTTCAAGATTTCTGCCGTTGATTATAATATTTGGCTGGTATGCAATTTTGTGACTTACTGATCGGAAACCAGTTTTAATCATTCATTCTATGTTTTCTTTAGAACAAAAATGAAAATATAAGTAGCGATCCTTTTTATACATTTTAACTTCACGCTATTATAAATGGTTTCTTCAATGACAACTTATTAGACTTAGGCAACTTCTCATACATTTTCCAGTAAATACTGTTGCCTGCCTATATTTTATTATTGATTTTTAATGATTATACATAATTTTCTTCAATTTAAGCGTGAAAAATATATAATAATAATAAATTAATGTTTTAATTGTTTTATAAATCCATATACTTTTATTAAAACTAACATATATACTTTTTATTTACGAATTCTATTAAAAATTGTATTTGTCAGTATAGGCAGAAATACTCCTTTAATACCAAAACAAATTGGCGCTGCTGTCGCGCACGGAGCGAATAAATGGAGTCGGTTAGATATTTATGTCATCTCTTGCAAAAATTATTAAAGGTAAAAATTGTTAAAGGTATTTATAAATTAAGGTTAAAAGAAATTTAATTTCTTATGTACAAAATGTTAAACCTAACGTTGAACACCCATCTAACTTTTTTATTTTTCAAGTTAAAATATCGGAAAGAAGATCAGCAGTGCGATTTGAGTGAAGACAAAGCCAATGCGATAGCAACCTAATATTTTTTATTATTATTTTATGTAATAACATTTTTTACTTTATTGTTGTATAAAAAAAAGTTTTCATACAAAATATGTTTCAATTTCATTCATATTTACAATAACTGTACTATTCATTTTTATTGTAACGATCTGCACAAATATGTACATGTAGCTTATTAGTCAAGATTAGTACATATGTGTAAAAATTAGTTTTTTAAATATGTTGCAATAACTTATGACAAAACTTTCCCTTACATTCAACCAAAACGTACACTTCATGAAAGTAACACTCAAGCACTCAAGTTTATTTGTGTTTCAGAAGTTAAAAATCTTCAACTTTTACATGAATAACATGATTTTTTAAATGTTTTCTTCTTTTTTGCGCAAATTTAAACAAGTTAGTTTGTGATTTTACCATATTATTATGTTGTTACGCAGTACCATGCAGCGTGCTGCGGTCGTCATAAGTAAAGGTACGAGTAAATGAAGAAGATAGAATTTTCCGGAAATGTCCCGAAATGTCATTCCTTGCCAAAGAAAAATTTGGATTGTTCAAGAAGGTTCTAGAAGTTTAGGCAAGCTATATAAGTCGACGACCTGACGTCAGAGTTTTCAGTTTTATGACAGATGTTATACGTTAATGTTATCAGTTGTAAAGTTATTGTAAAAGTTGAGTTGAAATAAATTGAGATACCAAAAACCTGCGTAACAATATTATTCTTATCTTTAACTGCAATAATTTTGTCGGACATTGCAAAATTCGGTCATTAAATATACTCATTTATCATAGGTGATCATGGTAAAAATTACATATTCAGGTCATCAGAATGAAAAAGGGGCGCTTAAAATTGGCGCTCACTATGACAGATTGGGTAAGTGTACTTTTATTAAAAATGAATTATGTGGTAATTAGAAAACATAATTTCGTTATTCTGACATGTTGCAGCCGGTGCACTCATCGATCGCCGGATTATTTATATTGTTTTTTTTGTGTTTATTATCAAAAATGATCTTTAATTGCGCTTCAAAATAAGTATGTGGTCATTGTATTACATAACATTGTAAAATCGATGTGTTCAATGTCTCGCAACAGAAAACGCAACGTTTCCATACATTTTTGTAGAGAAAAAGTATGGCAGATTCGTAAAAATGAAGCCACTCATGACATCGTCCAACTTTAATTTTCCATTTAATCTGAGACTTGTTTTAATAATGATGCTTGAAATGAGACGAAACCGGCTTCAAGCTCTGATGAAGCGATATGATTGTTTCAATGAAGAGCTAATAATGTTAGTGACACTACCGTGTTACGCCTATTTATAGACTTTGCTATGACAGTAATAGAGACACTTAAATTTCAAACCTTATTGACTAGATTTTGTAACCGTATAAATTACTTAATTGCAACCAGTGTTGTTCCTGGTTGTACAATTGTACAAAAAGTTGTACAATCAGTTATGTGGTTGTACGCAATTTTGAAAAAAAGTAGAAATGTACAATTTGAAGTTGCTAAATATTTATGTAAAATTTGGTATATCGTAAATCGTATGCATTAAAATTAATAAAACAATAATGTTTGAATTTGGCGCCATTCGCGACTAATCAGTACACCGTTTTACATCGAAAACATTTTTTAAATTGGAAAAAGAAGCATTTTAAGCATCGGGAAGTAGTAAATTAATTAGTGGTTGTACAATCGAATGTAAAAGTGTACAATTTTGACATTAAAAGTTGTACAATTCAAAAATCCCTAGGAACAACACTGATTGCAACGTCCAGTGAGAAACACTGTGTTAATATATTTGAACGGATAGAAAATAAAGAGATCGATACACAAAATTTTCCTCATGATTATTTTATAATATCGAAACGTCTAAAAATGTTAATGTAGATTACATGGCAGTATTATTAGGATTTAGTAGAACATTCTGAAAATTAAATAAAGACTGGTTTTTAAAAAACAATCTTGATGCTGCAGAAACCTGCAGAAACGTGAGTCCTCTACCTCAAGCCAAGTAAAAAAACTTATTTACGTTTAAAATAAAAATCGATATTTAGTTTTTCTGAAGTATCTTTGTAACCAGACCTGATATCTTAACACATTCGCGGACACTCATATTTTATGGTATGTGCATAATTGGACACAAGCGGCATAAGCCGTAACATATATTATCTCAGTCTGCCGTCAAAGGCTTAATCCGGCTATAGATACATTTTGCGTGATGTAACGTCAATTTTTTATAAAGAACTATGTAAAGTGTCCCACTAGACACCTATATGATAAAAATTGTTTGCGAAATGTCATTGGTGGGGGCAAAAATTTGGTTCGGCGATAGACAAAGTTTTGGCGCGTTTAGTTCAGATTTACGCATTGTTAGAGACTGTGTGTGCTAAATACTTGGCTTAGTACGTACCTAAAATGGACAAAAAGCAAGAACAACAACTACTTAGGTGGTATGATGAGCTTGATACGAAGGTTGAAGGGTCAGAATCGGATGCTAAAAACGCACACGATCCATATAGTCCGACGATGATCCTGAATACACTTAAAGTAATTCTTCATATTCTAGCGGTCGAAAGTTTTCCTGATACTATAACTATACCAAAACGAACTAAATCCATGCCATCTAAAAAATCTAGAAAGAATACTGGTCATGTTCTTGAGGCCATCACTATACCAGAAGATTCAAAAAAACGGGGGAAATATTGTAAGCGCTGTAAGCATTGTTATATGATAAAAAAAAAGAAAAGAAATTGCTTGGCAGTGCCGGGATTGCGTCGACAAGCCACCCCTTTGTGAAAGAAAATGTTTCCAGGATTGGCATGAATAAGTCTTTCTCTTTTTTTTGTTATTTTTACCAAAGCATTTTGTATTTATTTACTAGTTTTAGTTCCATATGAATACATATTTTCTTTAAAATTGACGTTTTTCATTTTATTTTTTATGCGGTATATGACGTCACTGTCATTTTGAGAATAAATTATGCTTTTCGCAGGACATGCCGTTATATGACACAGCGGTTTTTATCTATATTTCCAATTCTTTGGAAAAATGTGATTTTAAAGCTATATGTTTCGTTTCTCTACGTATAAAAGTACTTATTCTACCACTGTGACAATTTGAGCACACTTGACTTTATTTTAGTGCCCTGTTGAAACAAAGGCCAATGACGTGATTTCACGTCACTGTCCGCGAATGTGTTAAATTTCAAAAACATCAGTACGTTGGTCTCATACTTTGGAAAGTTTTTCCCATGTAACAGACTTTGTATTTGAATATCCTATATTTTACAAAAACGCAATACTGTCCATTTAAATTGTATATAAACTGTATAATCTAAAACAATATATAGCAGGGAGCAACAAAATTAAACCGTAGTATTCAAGTACATACCTCTTTCTGCATTCTAGGCGAACTAACCAAACTTTCATCCTCAGAAAATATCCTCATTTCCGACTCTTCCAATTCAAAATTGAGCTGTATTTCGCTGAGATCTAATAGCGATCCCTCGGAATTATTTTGAGAATTTTGCAGGGTATCAAAATAAGAATCGTGCGATACGGACCTACAAAAATGATGGTTAGTATAAAAATTAAGTATTTTAGTCTATGCTTACATCGAATATTTTGTTAATAAACATGCACCCGCTACTACTAATTATTCCAAATTCCAAATCAAAAAGCACAACTGCTCACGTTATTTTCACATCCCTTTTCAAAAAATAAAGTGTTCCGTTTATAAGGAATGAAATTAAAAAGCATGCAATGTTAATTTTATACATTTATTTCTTTAAAAAAGTACCTGTTATGACCAGGAGGTTTATTTAACGAACGTAATGGCGCCAAAATGTCTTCAGAATTTGCGGGTTCCGAAAGACCTGACGTCAAGCTTTCTGCTGATTTCACTGATCGCAATTTTCGTTTTATATCACATAGGTCCGATTCGGTTATGAATGTTTCCTAAAAATATATGAAAAATTAAGAAAACAATTTTTACTCTAACCTTGATAAATGGACAATATTATTAACTATAGAGTGTGCGATTATTACTTATTGAAGGAACTTTGTTATTTATTTGACGTATACGCCGCATTAGCGTGACGTTTGTCAGCCAAACAAAAACACCATTGATTTAAACATAAACTTTGAGTTTTTGAATGTTTTAAAGTTGTAAGAAAGTAGCTTGAATATATTTAACTACATTATGTTTAATGTTGGTATTTCAGTTAAAAATAGGTGATATTTCTATTCGCTGGTTCGTGAAGATTTATCTCAGTTTTACCTAATGACCTCTAGTGTCTAGAAGGTTTTGAAAAAATGTGTTCGACACACGAATTTTAAAGTTATAAAAATTCTTTATTTAAATTTTTGTAGTATTGTACAATGTGCTGATAACATATTTAAATTCAATCTATATCTCAGAAAATAAGTATTTGGACAATATAGCATTCTTTTGACTTCTGCCGAGGTGAGTTTTGAAAGTGATGAAAAACGAATTAATAATTGAAATTTATTTGTTAAGTCACGCCTTGTTTGGACTTAAACCAATGATGTTGTTCCTCGTAGTTATATCTTTTTGGGAGTCGATGCTTTATATGGTGTGACTTTGAATGATGTAAAATACCTCGCACGTGCAAGGCTAGTCATTAAGATTCTTCTGCTCATAATTTTCTACTTCCAATGCGACTGCATTTTAAGTAATAGTTTGTTATTAAACGCTCAAAATTGCAAAGAGGCGAATTTAGTATTTATTTACGGTTAAAAATATGTATATTTTTAACAGAAATATTGAAAATAATAGAATTAAAAGAAAATTGACATCGAACCTCTATTTTTATTTATTGATTTATAAACGAATATTTAAATGTTATCTGGTTATTTTAGGATTATATTTAAAGACCTAAAATCATTTAAATAAAATATATAAATAAAAATTTCCTTGGTTTAATCAGTCATTGTTTTTATTTTAAATCGTTTAGCACTACATATGTTTCGGAAATGTATTTTTTCCATCTTCGGGTGCAGTCAAAATTTAAAAATTAAAAAAAAAAAAAAAAAAAAAAAAAACAAGTGGATGATTACAAACAGTTTAAAAATTAAAAATAACAGTTTTTATAATTTTTTTATATTTTATTTTTTTTTTTAATTTTTGTTTTTTGTTTTTTTATGTTTTTCCTGTTTTTTGTTTTTTTAGTTTTTTAAAGTTTTTTTTGTTTTCTTTAAGTTTTTTAGTTTCTTTTTAATTTCTTTTAAGTATTTTTTTAGTTTTTTTTTGCATTTTTTATAGTTTTTTGGGGAAATTATGTCAAAAATAAGGTATTTTTTATATTTATTTTTCGTTGATTTTCATTGGACACTTGGCAACACCGCGCATTTTTAATAACAACACGACAGATATAATGCTAATGAATAATAGAATACATAAATGATCATTTAATGATTCTCATAAACACTTAATATGTAATTTAAAAAAAAAACTTAATTTATGCAGTTTCCGATAGTATATTTGAAAAATACTCTCCTTCCTAAAGCCTAAAATGTAAGTTTTATAAAAAACATGTATTTTTAAGAAAAGGTCGTCTTATAATATTTACAGTTTTTTAGTGTTTTTTTTTTAAGTATTCTATCTTTTTTTATAATTGTGTATAGTTTTTTTATATTTTATTTTTTAAAATTTTTATCGTTTCTTTATATTTTCTTTATATTATTCATTATTTATCGTTTTTTATAGTTTTTATCGCTTTTCATCTTCTTTATATTTTTTGATTTTTTTTTTTTACAACTGTTTATAATTTTTTGCCAAAGTACATAGAAATAAATGTATTTTTCGCCGCATAGTTTCAATGAATAGTTTATGTTCGCGTGCTCTAGTTTTCTCAGCACTAAAGGTATGAGATTCCTGTCCCCTCTACTCCAAAATTCCGGCCGTTACTTTTATTTTTGCTGTGACGAGATGTTCATATATTAAATCTCAAACAGATTATATCAAGCATTATCCCACATCGGGTCGGTGGTGTAGCGGTCTAACGCGCTTATATGCATTTATAAGCAAGTTTATGTGTCGGAGACTGCTGTGCTTCGAATCCCAGACCAGACCATGTGGATTTTTAATTAAATTGCATGGTTCGGTATATGATTTGATGTGTGCCGTATTAATAGAAATTCAATTTCTGTTGATATGACATGCAGATTATAAAAAATCGCCATACATTACCGTCTCGATGATGGTGGGCGAGGTTTTCTGGGTTTTCCTCACCTGTAAGTCAAATGACACCATCAATCATCTTTAAGTCGCCCCGGAGCGCCACGGCAAATAATAATAATAGCCGTCCCTTTCCCCGCACAAGCTCAGCTTTTGGGGTTAAAATTCACTCGTAAGGGGGTGAATTAGGGAGAGTAATATTATTATTATTATTATTATTACATGTTTGTAACTAATATGACTGGCCTCAACGCCAGCCCGGTAAGGCTGTGTCAATCTTTAGTGTTTAGTTCCTTATCAATACATTCAGCAACTTTTTTTTAACACAGCAGGCAAGAAGCTCTGTCAAGTTTCTACCAACAACTGTTATTTTATTTATAGGCTTGACAATGGCCATATTAAGGTTGAAACTAGTTCTTAACTACTACATTTACTTATCAATACATTTTTGTCAGTTTTGAGCGATGATGAGAGTCGTCTCTTAATTCAATGTACATATAGTTAGAAACAATATAGACTACAGCGTTTCATTTTGATTCAGATACTTACGTTTATTGATACAGGTGTGGAAGCCTTGCGGTTTTTTGGTATATTGCCCTGAGTTTGATTCCTGGATTTTGAGAAAAACATTCTCCAACCCAATGGCGAACGCTTGGTATGGCCTCTTTTCCTTGCACCTACAATGAAACAAATGCCTTCAAAAATATTTTTGCATGGTAGTTTGAAAAAGCGTCAGCTAGAGGAAAAACACAATTTTTCCTCGACAGTTTTGTAACCATTATCTTTAAAAGATAAACGTCTTTGACTGATATTTACTTACCCGATGGTAACTCAATGACTGTATGATACTTCTTGGGTAGATTTTTAGGTCCTCCTCCAACTTCAATATAACTGCACTCTTCAGTTTTATTCATTAAATGTTTGCTTCGAGCTTCTTCTAACGTAATGAGTTTTGTGGGCGTGGAAATAGCGAGGCTATTAGGCCGACATTTCTTCGATAGCAGACTTTCGGTAGCCGTGCTTGGTTGATCGAAATTAGGCAAGTGATCACAAAATATCAGATCGGCGTAGCATATTAAAAATTCCGTCACTACAGCCTATAAAAAATTTACCTTATATAATATGACCATTTCAGAGTATTAATTTAAGTAAAAACGTGTTACGGGTGTTAAGTTTGGCACAATGTTTGCACCAGCTATCTCTCGCATGCAGAACAGTCATGTTACCGATATGCACTATGGCACCCTCAATTATTGTTTAAATAGATATAGGAACAACAAAAAAATAATATCAGGACAATCAATTCTTACCTGAACTCCCACTCCTTGCAAAGCTGCCACTCCTCCTACTTCCAAGGCTTCGCACCTCAATAAATTCGGCGCCCAAACGATAGCTACATTTCTTGTAGTCATTCCAGTACTAGAACCATGCTTTGCTACCTTAGCCAAATGCCTCATCAGATACTCTAGGGTTCTAGAAATTATTCAGACTTTTAATGTATTTCATATTTGAATAATTTTAAATAATGTGTTTAGAAAGAATGTAGAAAAGGCCATTTGTATCTCATAAGTTATTTATTTAGCAACTGGTTTCAAAGTATTTACTTCATCTTCATTAAATGGATAATTATAGACACAGTGTATTGGAAAATGCAGTGGCGGTTTGCCCGTAAGGGCACTTGGGCACGTGCCCTAGTATAATAAACAAAAAAAAAATAACTTACATATTTTGTATTTTCCTCAATGCCTATTATTATTTTATCTAATATTCAGCGCAAACCGCGTTGGCGTGACACTGGACGACCGGGCGTTGAAGCCACGTTCCGAGAATTCCGAAATTAAGATGGGCACAGGGCTCAGTAAATGTGTGCCGCTGTTGTTTTATCTCTCATTATGATGCGAAAAACAAGGACAACGACAATATCGCTTAGCAAGAGATGAACACATGCAATGGATTATACGTCACAAGCAGGGCGCTGTCCCATGGCACAGATTACCTAGACCAGATACGAATGTACGCAGCGACTTCTTTACCGACTCCCTCACAAGGCGATGAGGTGCGCGTTTGTTGGACCATGATAATAATTTATTTATTGTAATTACGAAAAAAACGTTAGTTGGACCATTGGAATAGTTGAGAAATAAAACTACAAAGAAAAGTAACTTTTTTTTATAAAGGAGTCAAAAATATGATAATGATAATCAATAATATTTATAAATGGGACAAAACTTTAATGTTTCTTTTGGTTTTGTCTGACTTTTTCGAGGATTTCAAATCTCTGTTTGCATATTTAAGAGTATAAAAAATTCTGAGTCTTATAAATAATTTAATGGTGTACATTTTCGCAAATTGTTGGCAAGGATGACCAAATTCTATTTTGCTCATCTCAAAAAGGTATGCGTTGGAAATTCCAGGCTTAGTTGACAAACTATCAAATAGAGATATAAATATTTTTTCTAATTTAAAAATTTAAAAGAGAAATTTTTCGCTGGGAGATTTTAAATTGTCAAACACCTTTTCTTCAGAGTAGTATGCTTTAAAATGCGTTAAAAGTTAGAATTGTTAAGTAAATTGCATTCTTCTGAGAAATTTACGCAAATTTCGCAAGAGTGGATATGTAATGATTTTTTGATTAAATAGCCACCCACATACATAGTTAAATGCATTTTGAGTGGTCACATTTAGCTCCCTGTAGTCACATTCAGAAATCGTTATTGCCCCAACTGATTGTTTTGAAATATATATAATTTTCATTAAGCGGAGGACTTGTTTTCCTAAGGGAAAAACGAATCCCGGGATTCCTTTCCAGTGTGTGTCCCATTGCCGCTAGTGCCCACGAGCCGCAACTGGTAAAATGTAAAGTGAAAAATTTTAGTAAAAGGGCGAAAAAAGGTTAATAATTTGACTTTCCATAACATATCCACTACGGATTAGCAACTTGGTTTAACATAAAAAGGGGTAAAAGGGTCACTGATCGACATGTATTTAAAAAATATTTTTATTTAAATTAGAAAATGCAAAAGTTCCAACAATCCATTTAATTTAAAAACAACATTAAACAAAGACTGGAACTGAAAAGGCGTTAGATTTATATCAAGATAAAAAATTTATTCATTCAGAAAATATTCATTTATGAATGTTTGCAATTCGATTTTTTTAAACACAATTAGTCTAGTAGTTGTTCATCGTTGGATGTGCCTGAAGATGAAGTAACTAATACGAAACCGGTTCGTAAATAAATAACTTATACATAAAGGACCTTTTCGAACGTATAATTCCGGCATTTTTGTGAAATTATATTAGTTATATACATTGTGGAAACCATTAGTGAAATAAAATCATTTTTTGTATTATTTTAAGAAATCGTGAAACAGCTTAAACACATCAATTTTTATTTTAATTATACATTTTATGACATAAAAAAATTATGGTCCCCTTTAATCCCGTCCACGTGACAGCCATGCCCTATTATTTTTTAATATTATAAGGGAAGTGCCGCACACTTCATCGAAAAGTTAATTTTATGGGAAATTCAGCAATGGATTGTTCATTGAGTTACCTTTTACGTTAGCTTCCCCTAGCGGAATACAAAACTGTTACGTATTATAAAGTCTGTCACTTTATTTGGAAACTATAATTATTTTATTAGTAAATCAATGTACTATATAACATCTTAACAAAAAAATAAAAAGAGTGAGTTATACTACTTTATTTTGTTGAAAGTGCAATATGAAGATATTTAGGTCAATGTTGTGATGCATTGAATTACTAATGAAATTAGCTTCCAAAGGAAGTATCACACTTTATAATACGTAACCGTTTTTTAAGTCGCTAGAGGGCTAAAATTAAAAATAATGCAATGGACAGGCACATTAAATTACGTTTTCGATGAAGTGTCATACGAAACATCTACCTGTTTAAAATATTAAAGGGGTGGCTGTCGCGTGAAGAGGATTAAGAGGGAGGCAGATTTTTTTATATCAAACCTTCAGAGATGTAGGCAAATGCGTTCAGCATCTGTCTTACTGAGGGTAAGTTCATCTTTATGCTGCGTATGAGCCTATTGCCTGCATATGATCTACATTTTTACTGTCTTTTAGTGACTTACCTATAATGAGGCGGAGGTAACTTTTGTACAGTCTCTCTCATTTTTAAAAGTCTGTCGTGATCAGATTCTGAATTTCTTATTGCAGTATTACAGCCCTGAACTGCATTGACAAAACTTTGGTAGAGTTGGTACGTACATAACGGATTCGGAAGCTCCCTGAAAATAAAAAAATTACTTAACTACATAATGCAAAATGAGGATGAGGATTAAGTGAATGCACAAAAACATTATTTGTTTATGCCCAAGTTTCCCAGTTATCATAATGATATCATAACAAATTTGTTTTTTAAATCACAAGAATTAAGTATGATTACCTACAGAAATTAGCTGATTGTATTGAATAAATAACCATGTATTTACAACAGAGAACGTGCAAAAACAAAAATATATAATTTGGGGGTGGGTTCAAAATTGATTCTTTCGTGTTAAATGAAGTGTCTGATTAAGGGCTGTTAGCGGCTGTATCTCAGAATATCTTGAAGAATAAAAAAAGACCAGGTCGATTTTTATTTCAATTTTATCATATCCTCATTCACGGTCCTAAAAGAGTTGTCATACCGTTATACAGACAACTTTGATGTGCAATCCAAAGGATATGTTTTGGTAAGATCCTATTTGTATATTTATGTCTGAAATAAGTTGTTTTATTGTTTTTAATAAGTTTTTTATTTTATAAAGTCGTGAAAATACCGATAGACAAATAATAATAAATAGCTTTATATATTTATTTGCTATTCATGTATTTGTTTAACAATGATACTAGAATAACAAAATCGCAAACAATGCTTTTATTGGCATAGATATGATGACTGCTTTCACTGGTAGTAGTAGATAGTTGAATTCTTTATTAGTTTTTATGAGTACTATATATACTAATAATAAATTTACTATGGAAATAGAGAAATTCAATAAATTTTTTAGACTTAAACATTAAACTTAATAAAGCCCATAGTTATGGGAAATTTCTTAAGCCATCACATACTGATATTATATTACAATACATAATAGTTCATCTCATCCATATAAACAAAAGTTAGCAGCATACAACAGTATGATCCACAGATTAGTTAATATCCCGCTTACAAAAGAAAACTTCAAAAAATAATTAAATATTAAACAAATTGCAGTAAATAATAGTTTTCATTCAAATTTAGTATAAGTAAGTAAAACCAAATTTGGTAGATTTTCACAAAACTTTATTTAAAAAAAAAATAAAAATTAAAAACACTACACATGACATGTTTCGAAGTACAACTTCTTTTTCAAATGTGACTAATTTACAATTCCGTGTCCAATATATATGCGAAGTAATTTAACCAAACAAAGTAATTAAGAAAATACATCAATAACATAACAAAATAAACTGACTATTTAAAGTAAATTTAAAATATTCAAATTTAGTAGATACAATTTTAGAAAAAAACTTTTAAGCATGCTCTTCAACAAGTTTATCTCATAATTAAAGATTAAAATTGTAGTTATAAGACTCTCACATATTAGGAACCCCAGTGAAAAGGTATAATTATACTTAAAAAACCAAAATATTAATGTAGCTTTCAAAACGTGCAAATTTCGAATTTTCAAGAAAATTGTTCAAATAAAAGTTGTTTCATTCTCTATACCTTTTGTTCTATACATGATTTCTTTAGAATGGACCGTAATGGAAATTTTTTTAGGAAAAGTGTAAAATTTTAATTTTTTAGTATTTTCGTTAGCAATGAATACACACAGAAAAATGTTTCGAGTAAGATATGTGTGGAAAATCTAAGTATTTAGTTCATCATCTAAACATTTACAGGGGTGATACAGTAGGTTGTACAAAATAACCGAAAAAAGTCTGTAATAACTAGACACGAAAGTCATGTGTTGGACACATCACATTTTTACTTCAAGGCATAGGCTTACGTTTATTTTGAAAAACATGGATGATCAATCTACATATCTATTTATATCACCAGGCCCACAGAGTTGCCATATCATAACCTTTTATTACCCACGGGCAGCCATTTTGTTTGAAATGCTTAATTACAACGACCTGTCAAACAATAGCTGCCAGTGAGAAGGGCTCATATTTTTAAGGGGGTTGCGACATAGCCTTCCATCTTGGACGCTATTTTTATTCGAAATAGTAGTCGGCAAGCCTGCCAATTTATGAAAAATGTATAAACGGTTTTTTTTTAAATATTTTTATTGTGTTCGACACAAAATATTTAAATTTAGTTCATTATTCATGATTTCACATATTGTTGATAGAATAATACATCGTATGTCGCAATCCTATAGACAGTTCTTTTATGCCTAATTGGTTAAGTGTCGGAGAGGGAGGGGGGAATGACATATGACAGTTGAATATATGATAAAAAGTGTACGTGTATATTTTTTTTCAGAAGAATTTCTCATTTAAAATATTCTGAGATACAGTGTTTAATCAGTACATAGATTAGATTAGATTAGGAGTTGGACGTTATTTGTCCTTGTCCACCGCGACCTTTTCAGATCTATTGTGGGACTCCGTTTGTTTTAGAGTATGTCGTCTAGCCTGGTCTTTTTTATTAGACTTAGTAGCTTTGACAGTGGCTCCCGCATGTAGTTGCATGCAATTGGCTTTTCTTCGCCCAATGTTAGAAACCTCATACCAGCCAAGCCTTCACATTGGCACAGGACGTGGAATGATGTTTCCTCTTCTTCTTCACAGAACCTGCACAAAGTTGCTTCTTCTGCTGGATTTATGACACTCATGTGCCTTTTGAGGCGACAGTGTCCAGTAAGAAGGCCTACTGTTATCCTAACGATTTGACGTTTTTGATCCAGTAAGTCTTTCGTAAACTTGGCCGGTGGTTCCTTGATGAACTGTTTGGCCTGTCTCAGTCTTGGATAGTTGTTCCACCATTCCTGAGACTCTTTTTGCATCCATTGTTTAATGGATGCCTTGCACAATGCCTTAGCGACTCCACAAAAGGGTTCAGGGCCTGTCATGGCCTTATCTGAGCCTTCTCGGGCTAATTCGTCGGCCTTTTCGTTGCCCTGATATCCCTCATGGCCTGGAACCCAGGCTAAGGTCACCTTATTTTGACTACTTAGCTCTGTCAGGTCTTCTAGACAGTCTTTCACCAGTCGTGATTTGATTTCTGGTGAGAGAATTGCCTTTAGAGCTGCTTGGCTATCAGAGTATATGGCAATAGTTTTGCCTGATACTTGCTGATTTAATATTTCTCTTGCACAGTGTTGTATGGCTATTAGCTCAGCCTGGAACACTGTTGCATATTTTCCTAAGCTTAGTGAAATCGTCGATTTCGACTTAGGTCCATAGATTCCAGCACCGGCTCCTTCCTTGGTTTTTGAACCGTCTGTGTACCAGACAGTTCTTTTATGCCTAATTGGTTAAGTGTCGGAGAGGGAGGGGGGAATGACATATGACAGTTGAATATATGATAAAAAGTGTACGTGTATATTTTTTTTCAGAAGAATTTCTCATTTAAAATATTCTGAGATACAGTGTTTAATCAGTACATAATGTCGAATCCTCTAAATAGGTGAATATTCAAAATTCTGAATTTTAATTTTTTTGTGTAAATAATGTTTTGTTCTATAAAGACTTCCAAATTTAAAGATGAAGGCTGTTTTTATAATTTTTATCTAGTCATTAAATTTATGAGAATAGATCGTTTGTTTGTTCCAGTTAATCTCTGGATTTAACTCTGTTGAAATGTCTTAGGGCCAAAGTTCGATACACAATTTGGACATTTTATTACAAAAAAAATTTGTTGAGAGAGCGTATGACTGAAGATCCAAGTTTACATGTCAGGTTTGGATGTTTTTTGTTTTTATATTCTTTTTAAAATTATTTGTTTTTAATTTGAGCTAAGAACCAATGATACATATTTATAAAATTTTATCTAAAATAGCCTTAGCGTTATCTAATATTGGATTTCAATTTAATTTAATAGGTATATTAGATTTAAATGTCTTTCAGTATTTTTTTGTTATCATTAATCAGTTGATATATTTGTCCACTGTTGGACATTGACCATCGTAATGTAATTCTTCTAGTTCACTATGGTTTTTATTACAAATAACTAAAAGTATTCGGGTGTTTTTTTCGAAATCCATTCCAAAGAGCTATTATCTACATATATGTATTATTTTATTTTTAAGAGCAACAAGATCATCAAGGTTTTTTTAAACCCAAATGATCAGTTACATACGAGTATTAGAAGATATCAAATAGATACTTAATAAATCTCATGTCATACTGTAAATCATGTAATCCAATCGCACGAAAGATTAGGTAAAAAGCTGCTATACTAAATGTTACTTTTAAAATGCGTGTCATTCTGCTTATTTTCTTAGATGAAATCGAAAACAACGAAAGTAAAAATTATTTATCGTCAAATATAGAAAAAATCGTTAAATTTAACTATTATTTTATGTGAATACACTTTTGTAGTCCGAATAAATTGCTATATAATTTCTCGTCTACTTGAGATAATATGTATTTTTTTTTTAATTAAAATGTTGGGTTCAACCGTAGTTTCTTTAAAAATTGTTGAGTAAATTAACAATATTATAAACTTCATTTAGCAACATTTAATGTTTGACGAGTTCAAATAAAAAGTATAAATAATACACTAACAGTTAAAATGGCGCTATTTTCTTCAATGCACACCAGTTGTTTAAAGGAACATATTCCAAAAAAGTCTTTATAATATTGTAAGATATATAAATGCATTTTTATTTTATCAAAAAGAATATTAACTAAAAATTAGAGTTTCTACCTAAAAAATAACCAGCCAAAATTGAGAAAGAAAAAAACGTTTTCACAACTAATAGTGTTAAAATCATTCCTTATTTGCTGGCAAGCCGCTCAAGGAAATTTTTTTTATTAAAATAAATAAATAAACGTAATCATTATTCCTGGTATTTTTTAGAGGTATTAACTATCTAAATTGGCAAATGTTTAGTAAAACAGTAGATGTAGAATGTAAATGTTATGTAGCTATGGATTAAGTTTAACAATAATATTTTATATAAAGATAAGATACAGTTGGCTAATGTCAGTCGTCTCGAACACTTCCAAAGTGTACCAAGTCTTTGATAGATTCAAAATTATATTTGATTGATCAAAGAAAAATCATGGGAATCAAATTTGGAATTGTTTTCTTATTGGGAATACTCAATGGCGTTGTTGCAAAAAGCATAATTTTTGGTAAGTATTTAATTTGAAGAATAGTTTAATTTCAAATATAGATTGTTTACCAATTCATTCGAATAGATTGACAGATTGCTTATTATTGACATAGTATATAGGGTCATACAAAAACTAATGTTACTTACAGAGCGTGACAAACAAATCGTAGAAAACGTTTTCATCACTATTTTTTACATTCTATATAAATTTCAAAATATAATTTTTGCCCTACCTGTTTATAAATTTAATATTTGAATTTTTAATACTTAAGTTGGCACAAAAGATTACTGACATTTAAAATATAAATAATTAAAGTATTAACATTCGAAAATTGAGGGATTCAATAAAATTACATTACCATTTTCCACATTTCTTTGATTATTTATGTTTATGGTGAGGTGATAGTTTCAATGTTTACGTCTATTCAATGATTCTAGCTCTTCCGTGTTTCTTGCTGCAATCTTTTTATTTTGTAATATATTTTTATTTCAAATTTTCCTTCCTAATTTGTTTTAATATTGTTTAAACAAATAGGCAATTACTTATTACACCTGACTTTTATGTGTATGGTGCGTAAATTCAAGCATACAATATTAAAATTTTGGTTTTCCAGCGATTACCAGGCTTGTAGTCACAGTTTTATTTATTATGGGTTGGAGTTAATTGTTGTGGGCCATTTTTATTTTTCTGGCTGTATACAAATGAGGAAAGTACCTAAAGGACTCATGATTTTTTTCGACCTCAAGTTTTTGACGGATTTTTACGTTTTGGGGTCCCCTGAATCACTTTTGTCTATTTTCGCGATGATGTCTGTGTGTCTGCATAATCGATAACTCATGAACGGATATAGAACCGAATTTTAAACTTGAGCTCTAATCCATTCTACGGTTAGCAGATTAGATTTTGGGCATAGTCGGAGAAGATTCTTCAGTTAAAAGTTGCTTATAGTATTATTCTCTATAATTTTTATTCTATACATTACAATTTTCCTAAAATGGCCCGTATTCGATAAATTTGACAAGAAGTGCAAAATTCGAATTTTTAAGCAAACTTTTCAAAAAAAAAGTTGTTTGCGATATTCTCTATAATTTTTGTTCTATACATGATTTCTCTAAAATGGACCGTAATGGAAAAGTTTGAGGAAAAGTGTAAAATTTTAATTTTTTAGTATTTTCGTTGGAAATGAATATATGTATATAAAAAAAATGTTTCGAGTAAGATGTGTGTGGAAAATGTATGTATGTATGTTCATCCCCTAAATGTTTACAGGGGTGATACAATACGTTGTACAAAATAACCGGAAAAAGCTTATAAAAACTAGACAGTGTTGAACACATCAGATTTTTGTACCTATAATGAAGGATTATAAATTATGTAGGCAGGTCCATTGACCTTTTTAAATCGAAACAGCCAAATTTTTTACATAGTCCATCCACAGATACACGAAACGAAGATACATTTTCTATTCCTGTAGTGGCAAATTAAATATAATATCCGTATTTCAAAAAGTTGTTTCCAAAGTCAAAAAAGCACACGATAATTTTTCTACGGCTACTTTCTGACACGTTTAAAGTATAATATAAACAATTTCAAATATGAAGAAATATATGAGACTATTTTATTTAATTAAATCCTTTTTTGAAGAAATAGTGGAATGTTGAATAATTATATTTTCTTGAACTCGACAATTAATTTTTGTTACCTTTGCTGTTTCTTTTATATTTGGGATGTTAATTCAAATTCAATGTCAATATCACTATCAATGTCAACTTTATCAAATTTATTGGAGTGAATTTTTTAATTATTCGTAAATGTACAAAATCTGACGCGTTATGACAATAGTTCATTTATTTTCATAGCTGCCTTCATTTTAAAGACGTAAGCGGCCTGAGCCGGACTGAACACGAAATATTTATTGTTGTTTATGAAATGAGGTATATTTATTTGAGAAAGTAATCATTTCCGTACCATAATCTTATCTGATAACACAAAGTAGTCATTCTCTAATTATTTTAATAAAATCATGTGTGCCATGAAACGTGAAATTTTAATTTTATAAATTATTATAACCAAAAATGGGTAACAGCATTTTACAACCTTAGAAAAAGTACAGTGTTCTGGCAAGAAATCGCAGGAAAAGAGTACCATTCCTTGCTCGTTAAACAATATATTATTTTGCACGCGTTACTTAGCAACTCTAGGCAACTCGTAAAATATGGATTTTAGTACAAAATGTATGTAATTATTGCAAAATAAAGATTTATCGTGGAAAAAATATGTATTTCCATAAATTACATTACAAAAATAATGTGTATGTAGTTTGGGGTATTTTTCATTTTGAATTCGTTTAGTGTTTTCTTAATTTTTGTTTTTTCGTTGAACAATTCGAATAAAAAAAAAGTTTTTACGCTAAACAAATATATTTTTTAATTTATGTACCTATACACATTTCCATAGAAATATACTAAACGACATAATTAAAAAAATAGTCACTTATTATTTACGAATTTTGTTGTTTATTTATTTTAAAACTCATTTTAGTATGTTCAATACTAAAAACATTGTTAGCTGATCAAATATGCGTAATTCATCTTTTATTATTTAACTAAACGAAAACATGCGTCTTTTTATTTATTTAAAATAAATATATTGTTTTAATGTAACTAGATTCAGAGTTATTTTTCCAACCGATTTCCATATCACGATTTGTAAGAATGCTCTTTGTAGGATACCAAAATAAAAAATGAAATTATAAACACATTTTTAATCTGGTTTTTCCCTATTATTAGATACACACATTTATTTTAGATGTTTATATTGTATTTTTAATACTTCATTATTTTCGTAGAAAATCAGGATCAACAGACAACTGAGGAATTAAGTGGTAACACAGAATGTTCAACAGAAAATCAACAAACGTCACACGATACAAAATGTAACCTGTACTATCGATGCATCTATGGTAGAAAAATTTGCAAAGAATGTCCAGATGGTATGATGTTCAATCCGCGTATAGCTAACTGTGACAGCAGTTATAACGTTGATTGTGGATCATTAGAAACAGAAGAAGACCATGACAAGTAAGTAAACTTTTATTTTACCCAAAATTATTGCTATTAGGCATTCCAAACAAAATGTCGGTGGGAAAGGTTGATATATCTGAGGGTTTGCGACATACGATGTATTCTATCTTCGACACGTGAAATCATGAATAATGGATTAAATTTAAATATTTTATGTCAAACACAATGAAAATATTATTTAAAAAACGCTCATACATTTTTTTTTTTTAATAAATTGGCAGGCTGGCGACTAGTATTTCAAATAAAAATAGTGTCCAATATGGAAGGCTATGTTATAACCCCGCAATCTGAATGATTGCAATAAAAAAGAGCTTAAGTATGAATGAATGTATTAGTCTAGTAGTTTTTCGTCGTTGTTGGAATGCCTAATACTTGATACAAAATATATAGTCAAATTGGTTTAGCGCATCAATTTATTTTGATAAAAACATAAAATTGGTTTAAATAATCTAATGGCTCTTATTTTACTTCTAGATATAATAGCGATTTTTCCGACTACTATAACATAGACGATTTTACTAACTCCGACATTTTGGATTCCTATGAAGTAACAACTCGAAAATATACGGAATGTCCAGAAAAACAAGACCCTTATGAACCCAGCCCTCTATTACCTCACGAAGAGAGATGCAATGTCTACTACAAATGTGTTGAAGGTAAAAAGTATCTCATGAAATGTCCAGGAATGTTCCAGTTCAATGCCAAAGTGCTAGCTTGTGATTGGCCGAGGAACGTAAAATGTCTGGATAGATTTAGTACTACGACGGAAGCTACAACTACAGTAACCGATAATTCGAAAGAACCAACAACCAAAGAACCTAAGAGTTCGGAACAATATTCTCAAAAGACTGATTATTTAGAAGAAATTTCCAATAAAGAAACTACCTCGAAGACTGATGATTTAAATAAACCAATAATTTATAAGGATGAAAGTTCAGAACAATTTGCTATAAAATATTTCAATAGTCTCTAATAACTAAATGACTAGAAGTTCTGACCATAACGCATATATCATAATATATTATTGACTGTGAGATATCGTTTTCAATAAAATATGGATATACATAATTATTTTGTGATTTTTATAGTAAATAAGTATTTACTAAAGTTATTTATTTTTTTTATTAAATAATTTCCGTGATACATTTTTCTGTCTACGAAATAAAAAATTTAAATTTCAAATCGTAGGAGAATTGCAAGGAACTGCAAATACCAAGAACAATACATTGTCTCAACTAACAAGCACCAAATTCCTGTATAAAATATGTTAATAAATATTTGCCTAAAGATTAGAATGTTACATTTTATGCAAGTTAAATATTGGTAAGGGAATTATATTAATTCTGTCAGTTTTAGAAATCAAATTTCAAAGTTTTTGAGTGTTCTGACGTTTTCTAAAAATCCTCGTAAAACCCATTTGTATTATTTTATACAAGGTAATTCTACGGATTTGTCAGTATTATTAGAGATATATTGCAAATTTCTATAACGTCAGCCACTAACAGTGACAACGTAATTAGAGGCAAATAAATTCCATGCTAAAATAAGACTTATTACAAATGAAATTTTGACATTAGAGTCATTGTCCTTATACATATTTTTAACCTCATTTTAAAAATTTTAAATTACAATTCATTTTTTTTGTTGTCAATAATAGTACATAATATTGAAGAGGCATTAAAAATTGTAATTTTAGAAGGTTTAGCGCATCCGAAAGCTATAAAGTCGCCACTACCTGCTGCCCTTTAAGCATCCATAATTAAGGACAGACACAATCTTTAATAAAGTCAGCTTTAGAACATATACGATCTGCGCATGCTTAGATGTCAAAATAAGAGCGGCATTAATAGTGACTGACCTTAAGTGAACTTGCAATAACTCTCTATTATAAAACATAATGTCAGCCCTTTGGCTTCTTTGACAAGCTATAATTAGGTAATCCAATGTCCTGTCAGAATGGAAAAAAATGGCTGATACTTGGCAAAAACAAGAAAGTTTGTTAACCTAACTTTCATTAGTATTTGACTTTTATCGTAAATCATACATATTCATGTATTCTTAATAAATATTAAATTACACCATTTTTCAACTAAACACACTGAAAGAAGAAACTGTAAAAACTCCGAAAAAATAATACAAACTTAGACTAATAACCTCACTAGAAGTGTTTTTGTGAAGGGAAGCACGTACTTTTGTTGTTTTTGCAAAGGGTCCACCATTTAAAGTTTTAAGATCACGTGATTTGGATTATCTAATTAGGCATTCCAACGACCTGTTAAAGTGCTGCCCGTGAGTAATAACAGGTTATGCTATGGAACCCTGTAGGCCTGGTGTCTTTGATAGGGTCAATGATATATATTTATATAGTTATACAGATTGCTCAAAGCGGGTCGTTTTGCTAGCAGTTATATTGCCTTGCTGATTAATCATAATCGATTTAGCAAATATGTGTTTTAAAACAAATTTCGTAGCCCTTAAACATAGTAAAAAAATAATTTCCTACATGTTTACTTTAAGGTATAAGCTTATGTATATTTTGAAAAACATGGATGATCAATCTATATAACTATCTATATCATTGACCCTGTCAAATCACCAGACCCCACAGGGTTGCCATATCATAACCTGTCATTGCCCACGGGCAACCATTTTGTATGGAATGAATAATTAGGCATTCCAACGACCTGTCAAAATGCTGCCCGTAGGTTATGATATGACAACCATGTGAGCCTGTTGGCTTTGACAGGGTCACTGATATATAAAGTAGTTTGCTTTGGGAGCGGTCAAATTGGCTGGCAAGTGCTCATTAATCAGAATCGGTTTAGTAAAAATCTGTTTTAAAACCAATTTTCAGCTTTTGAATATAGTAAAAAAAATAATTACCTACATTTTTACTTCAAGACAAAACCTTATCTTTATTTTTAAAAACATGGATAATCAATCTATACAACTATCTATATCATTAACTCTGTCAAATCACCAGGCCCACAGGGTTGCCATATCGTAACTCACGGGCAACCATTTTGTTTGGAATGCCTAATATCAAAGGATTGATGTTATTTTAAGTTTTTTTTATTAACAACTCAGTTTAGCTTGTCTAAGTTGGATGACATTTCTATGACATTCAAGACTGGTAGTGACAATATTTGGTGTTCAATTTGCATTGTGTATTTTTTATTTTTGCTATATAAAAAGTAAAAAGATTGTTTATTTGTGACATGTAGTATTGAGGTTTTAGAAGTCAGTAAAAAAATATTTTGCGTAATTTGCGACATGTTTTCAAAAACATGATTTTGTATACTAAACTCAGTACGTTACGTTTTTTAATACTGGTTTGTCTATTTGACGATGATGTATTTTACCTTTTATGTAGGTAAACATATAATATATATTTGTGAGAGGTTGGATTTGTTTACCATAAACATTAGGTAAACATATAAAATCACTTTTGTTTCCAATTCCAAATTTTTTTAACCATTACAATAACACCTTGTTTGTTATCAATGACGAAAATCTTCTAGACCAATTTTGTTTACAAAAAGTATTCAAGTTGTCACCCAACGGCTCTGTCACAAAACAGCGCCGGACAAATTATTGCACAACAAATGAGCATTGATAAAATGGCGCTGCGTCAAAACAGTGACTAGACCAAAGGTCCCGTAACATATCGGCATCGGGACAAATAGGCTCCAACACAAAATAAATAAATACAACTATTTAAATACATGAATTGAGAGGGTAAAATACACGATAGTATCATCACAGTGGTAATACTCTAATCCCACACATGAACTCAAATAGTTGAATCTATTTGTAAAATATATTAAAGAAAATAGAAATATTTTTTCAGTACCTATTTTATTAAAATAAAAAAAAACTAATTTACCTAACCTGTGCGGCCTGGCATCAACGAGCCACTAGATATTTGGTAGTAATTATTAAATTTAGAAAATGCTGAAACATGTTTATTTTTAATACAAAGATAAAATCTTTTTTGATATAGACGTCTTTCAAATGATAGAATGGATACCCTGTATATTTTTCTCTTTAACTATTGTTTATAATATGAAGTCATACTTTCAAAGTGGGTAGTTAAGAGGTTTTTATTTATTGAATTAATCAATACAAATATTTATGCTTCGGTATCCTTATTTAGGCCACATTTTTATTTGTTATTGCCATTTTGTCCGGTGCTGAATTATCAGTCTTTATTTTGTCCAGTGCCATTTTGTGATGGTGCTAATGTATCGCGGCATTGTTCTGTCGTAGTGCCGTTTAGTCAACGCTAATTTGTCGGCGCTGTTTTGCGGCATAGTTGCCAAATTATTATAAGTAGTCTATGTACAAGGATTGTTTGTGGTTATAACTCGGAATTTACTCAACAAACGTGTGTCATTTATTTTGAAGTATAATAACAGTGTAAAGCAAACATCGTAGTAGAACGTTCTGGTTCGTTCTTAAAGAGCGTGCTCTCAAACACTATTCCCACTCGATTTAGTAGGAGTCTCGCTCTTTCTGATGCGGCAGCCGAGACGACAGCTCTATCTGTCTAACATAAAACAAATATTTGAAAGAAAACAAATGCTTATTCATGAATGAAAGGATCCGTCTATAGATTTCATCGTTTAAAACCCAAGTAGGGTTCAATCTTACTAACAGCCTCTATATTAATAGCCTCTATCTTATCCTTCAGACAGATCGGAAATTGTTTGGGGATTGTTGACATACTCATTGCTTTTCGCGTATGCCTACAGAAAACAATCAAGTGGAGTAAAATCGCACGATCTCGGCGGCCTATTTATGTTACCATTTATTGAAAGTATTCTGATTAGTATTAAAATAAATCAAAAATCGGGTTAGAGTAGAATTTCTTCTTAAAATAACTATTAGGCCGGTGGGTTCACATCACTCCGGTACTCTAGGGCTATAATGGAACTCTGCCCCATAGGCCGTGGGTTCCAATCCCAATCCAAAATTAAATTTGACAATTTTTCTCTTGGTTGTTTTCACCCCTCGGGATTCAAGAATTTATTCATGAATTTCCTCCATTAAAAGAAGTATTGCCTGTCAAAGTAACAAATTTGTTAAATAATTTGTTTTATTTTTAAAAAACATCAGGGCACTCTTATTGGAAAACCGTTTATAATACTCAAAAATACTAATTGAAGATATCTTTCTTTTACTTTTTGGCCAAATTCTCAGGAAAATAGCTATTTAAATGGTCTTTTTAGGCAAGACATTACAATCAAAATGGATGTTAGGTTTACTTGAAAAGTTAATAACACCATTAAATTATTTTAAGAAATAGTTATTGTTTATTTTTGTGACAAATAAAAAAGTTGCTAGAAGACGTGAAGAAAACTTACCTAAAGTACATTTTTAGAAGAGACGCTACCGAATGAATATCTTGTAAAATATCTTCAGTAAATAAATTTGGTATTCTATCTTCGTCAAACGAATTTCTTAACTTCTGAATATTGGAGGTAACACCAGACAACCTGAAAAAAATTCAAATGTAAAAACTTCCAAAGTAAAGTACAAATATAGTAAAAATAACAAAAATATTTCCAGTATTTGCTTTTACTTATGGAAAAATATGCATTGTTTCTGATAGTAATTAATAGATTACTTCGTATTATTTTACAGCAACACGTTGTTTATAAATGACACAACGTTTACCGGTGTAAAAATGTTATCGCTCACCGACAACTCAAGAATAGTAATGCTGAAGAAAACTGAGTTTAAAAATTTTGTTGATTTTAGTTTTATCAAAATTGACAGAGAATGGGAATTTTAAGTTTGAAGTCGATTATGATTTAGTTTTTAGATTTTAAATTCACAGAGAATGATTTGTTTTTTTTTAACTTGAATTTGATATGCCATTTTGACGAGTCCATAAATTACAGTTTTTAAATTAAAACTCTATGTACCAAAAAATGTAAACAAGTTGAATTATTCATTCCCTATATCATTAGGTACAATATTAGGAGAGGTGTCTTCAGGCAAACTTATTTTGTAGTCAACTATCATTAAGTTTCTATTGCTTTACCACAGCAGAATAGTAGTTGTGTAACAAGAATGGATATGATGGCCATAATATGTGCAATACGAACAAACCTCTTGAATTGTACAGTATATTTTTTTACGACCCACTAAAGAAAGATTACAAATCAAAATTAACGTTATTAAGATAAAATAGTTTAAAAATAATTAGCATAAAGATATTTATGACTTACAAAATAATAAAAAGAACAAAAAATCTACTAATTATTATTGACAGGTTAGTAAACAAAAGTGAACTGTGATTGGCGGATTTCATTTCCGAACGTGTGTGGATAAAAAAGTATCCCTTCAGTTGAGTAACCTGGAGTGTATAGGCAAAATGACGTATTTTGCCCAAGTTGAGGTATTATGCAGATTTTATTGTACAAAGTTCTACAAGTATGTCTCTGTGTTATAGTCTAAGATCCGATTGTATAAGTTCTCCACTCATCTGTTTTTTAATCAAAATACAATTTATATAGATAATTATTGACAGAGAAATACGACTTTGCCGGATTGCCTATCAAAATATGGCCGCAAATACTTTTATTAGAACTCTTTTCTACTTTAAGGTATATTTCTACAACAAAAGTTATGTATCATGTTATTCTCTATAATTTTGGTAAAATACATTTCTCTGAAATGGACAGTAATGGAGAAATTTGGGAAAAACTGCAAATATTCCTGTAAAGTTATCAAAATATATTGAGTACGGCCCATCTAATCAAAACAAGTTTAGAATATGAATTACACATAAAAATTATACAAAACATTGCCCCATAATTTAATTGCAAACAAAAATAATGAAAAAATAAATGTTTTCACTTTTTCTCAAATTTCTCCATTTCGGTCCATTTATTCATGTTTTCACCAAAATGTTAATAACATCACAAACAACTCTCGTTGAAAGAATTTTCTTCTGTAATCCTAAATAACAGAAATATACCTTAATGTGGAAAAAAGTACTATTAAAAATACTTCCGGCCATATTTTGATAAAAAAAAATACAGCAAAATCGAATTTTTCTATTAATAATTTTCTATAAAAATGTATGTATTTTGATCTAAAAATAGATGAGTTCAGAAATCAGTATAGTACACTGGATAAATTAACTAAAATGAAGATATGCTTGCCAGTCTATATTATACTCTTCACAGTTTAAAAGACCCTTCCCCTACCCTCATTTTTAATCAGATATTCTTCAGAATCAATAGGCTTCGACCCTTTATAAAGCATGATATTTTACTGTATACATTCAAGTGGATATCGTTTTTTGTTTCTGAGCTAGGATTTTTTTTAATATTTCAACCCCCCTTAACACGCCATTTTTATTCAGATTTTTCAAAATCAATAGGCTTCATCTCTTTATTGAACTTTTTACAAAAATTTCATTTTGATATCACTTTTCCTTTTTGATTCCTAATTTTTTTTTTTTATTTCAATGGAGGTCAAGGCCTCCATTTTTATTCAAATTTTTTCAAAATCAATAGGCTTCGTCCCCTTATAGAACTTGATTTTCCTGAAAATTTCAAGTTGGTCTCTTTTTTCGTTTTTGACTTCGTGCGGACAAAAACATGACATCGGACGGACAGATATTTTTAACAGTTGTTTAAAATTTGATGAGAAGGATTTTGGTAAAAAAAATTTTTTGGACAAATATTAAAAATTTTGATTTCTCGAAAATAAACCTACAATACTCTTCACAGACTATTGTGTGAAGAGTATAATAATATACTTACCAAAAGCTTTGTTTAAAAAAGTACGAAATGTATTTTGTAAAATTTTTATCAAAAAATATTATAATGTAACTCTATGTACCTACATAGTTTTGCCAATGAAATTTCTTCGAATTTTGATTAGCAATACAACGGTACATGCAAATGTACACCGTCTTACTGCAATTAAATCTCACTTTAAACAATTTTAAGTACATTTTTTGATGCCAAAATTGGGTATTTTATTCTGCTCTAACTGTTTATATCGATTCTGAGTATTGTACAAATACAAATATAACTATAAAATACCTTTTAACTGGTCATACATAGGCCGCGGATGACCTTCATGGAAAAATATATCAATGATTTTACTGAGGCTTGTAATAAAGCAGTGAGAAAGTATGTAAAAGTGCTATATACGAAATGTCATTTTTAAAAGATTCAGTCAAAAATACTATTTATAAAAGGCAAACAAGAATAATTCTTTTATAAAACAGATTTTCGTGAAGGAGAATAAAAAGAAACAAAAAAAAACAAAATTGAAAATACCTAAACCGCTTACCATACTTCATGGAGTATCTTCTAAAAAGAAGGATGCTATTATGAAAGCCTTAGTACTTGCTATGAAAATATCAAAAAAGTTATTTTGGAAAAAATTGCAAATTTAAATGTCGCAGACGTATTGGACAAAGGATATTAATTAAATCTTTTAAAATTTTGAGCTTCTTGTTAGAATGTCTAAATAAGAATATATCGTTAATTTGCACTAAAGCAACATTCTTTTGTTATTTTAAAATATAAAAATACTAAAAGCTGTAAAAGCAGTACATAATTAACTAAATAGGTCCCTAGCGGGACTTATAACTTTAAATTGTTGGACGATATGAGTGGCCATAGTAGTATTTGCCCATGGTCTATGTTCATCAGGGTTATTTTGTTTGGCAAGTTTATGACGAAAGCTATATTTTAATAAAGGGTTATTAAATTTAATGCCAAGGTTTTTTTTAGAAATTTGTTTAGGGTTCCGTCAAATATTTCACTTTTCAAAAAGGTTCCGTTACCAAAAAGTTTGAGAAACACTGCTCTACATTATTTTGTCCAAGTTTTTTTGACATTTTTTTATTATGAAAATGATGTAATCAACCAAAAAAGACAAATTTCTAATATTATGTGTAATTTAGCTATAGACTACATTATTCTGGTAAAAATTAATCTAAATGGCAAATTTAAAAAAAATGTGACATTTTCTGCAGTTTATTAAAAAATTCAAATAGGTGGATATAGAAAAAAGATGTAAATAATTTTGAAAACTCACCTGTAAATTCCGTCGACAATGCCGTTCCTCTCAATGAATTCGGCACAGCATTTGAGTACCATCGGTACGTCGTTGCCAGAATTGAGCAGGTGTTCCCCCAGGTCACATCCGAATACCCTCTCCTTTAAAATGCCCGATTGTTTGAGTCTCCTCCTCGATGGCCTGTTCAAAATAAAACTCCTAAAGAACGTGATCAGTTTACCGTGTTTTCTCAAAACTGGCTTAATCGGTGTTAATGCTAAGGACCTACAACAACGAGACGGTTCGGCGTTAATAATGAACACAGCTCGATTTTTGCGACAGGTCACAAAATAAAATTAAATAAAAAAATACAAGAAGATAGATATCAAAAACAAAACAAAAAACCCTAAGGAATGAAAATGCTACAGACAGTAAAAAATAGGATGAAGAAATGACTAACCCAGAAGTTTGAAATATATACCTCTACTAACACGAAACATAGAGACTTAATATAGACATAACACAGATATTTTATTTATAGAAAAAATTACTGTTCCACCTATAATATAATAGGTTTAATATTGTATTAGAGGAACCCAACTAATAAGCATTTTAAACTTGGCAGAAAGAACTCGACAGGAAAAGATTTTTGTTTTGAATTAGTGTCTAATATTTTCACTAGTTGTATGAATTTGTTTGCGGTTATCCACGGCATTTGGGTATTTAGATTGAGAGTTAAAATAAACCAGTGCTTCTTGAGATTCTACTGACTACTGAGGCATAGCTTATATTATAGGGTACCAGAAGAGCTGCATCTAAGTACTTCTTTTTGCCGGTTCCAGGAGCCTTCATCTCTTCTGGACCCATCTGTGAACCCGACGAGCTCTTTAGCAATTAGAGATTCTGGATTTTTTAGTATATAATGTATGTCAAATACATAATTTAAGACGTACTTTATTGCTACATAATTAAAGCAATCTAGGAGACTCTCAACTAGTTGACGGAGGATATGTGATCTTACCAGGGGCGTATATACGGGCGGAGAGGGGTAATTACTCCTTACCCCAAGAATGTTTAAACCTCACTTTTTATAGGTACTAAAATGTATTATTAACAAAAATAGTCTTAAATATTACTTAAATATTACTACCCGACCAAGACTTACAACTTTATTACCACTACTCCCCCAGAGAGCTTCAAAGACCGAAGCAAGAGCCGTGCGTATGAAACAAGTCGTACCAATGCATTTTCCTTAATTTTGACGTTAAGCGAAAATATAAATGAGTCTATGACATCCAGATTTGCATAATATCATTTTTTGATCCAACTTCATTATTTTCAAACAAATTTTTATAATTATTACAAGAATTACGTAATAGGAATTGGTTTTAATTATTAATTATAGAAAAAATTAAATACATTCAGTTGTATTAAGAATTTGATTATTATACAAACTGTGTATAGAAGTAGTTAAAAAAAAATTCAAATAACTTTTTCGAAAAAACTCAAAAATAAGAAAGATATTGTGATGTTTGTTTACTTTAAAACAACCGTTTATTTATTAATAATTTATTTAAACACTTATTTATTTTATAACACAACTATTTCTAATTTATATATATTTCTAATGTCTTTGAATCGTTCACTATTTATATTCACAGTCCAATACTTTATTGTTAGCTGTCTATATATCACTGATTACTATTTATCTTCACTGTTCATATAATACTGACTCTGCTGGCTCATCCACCAATATTTATATACAAATTTCTAAAATTTGGTGGAGTCGAGAAGCTTCTCCACCAAACTAGAAATATTTCGAACAGTCCAGAAATATTATCTCGTCCTTTCTCGAACATCATCGAAATCACCTCCGCCATAGTCGTCCCATAGGTTTGTTCTTAAGGGGTTTACTTATGTATAATAATCGGACAAGTTGAGCCTTAAAGGCCAAATAAGACAGAGAGGAACTTGTAGGGTTAGAGCATGACTGAATAATGAAATGGCTCACATAACAATATTAATAAAAAAAAATAAATCCGGATCTGGACTTGCGTATGAATAGTTACGCTACTAGTCTGTTTATGTGTTTATCTTTTGTGATTCAAGTAGCGTGTTTTCCCTAGGGTCGTCACATGGACTTACACGGCTATTATAAAACCTTTGCTAATATATAGTGCATTTGTGTGGGTACCGAAAACCCAACAATTGACAGCTATCCGTAAAATAGAACAAATTTAAAGAACAGCATGTCTCAACAAAACAGGAGCCAAGAAAACCACACCAACCAGAGCCGTGAAGTCATTCATAGTACCCCTCCTCTTGATATTTACATTAAGGAGGTTGCATTGATGACAATGACACGACTCGCTTTTGACAGGAGACGCTCGATATGCTTTCACTGCTTCAAGCGAATATGAACCCCATACCACCGAGACATATCTTCCATAAGCCAAACAAAGTTATAGCAGAGCAAATAGAAGAGGCGGAAGTGGCAGGTACGATTCATATCTACACTGACGGTTCTAAAACAGAACAAGGCTCAGGATGTGGAATATATTTGTAACGGTTGGAACCGTTTTCGTTATTTTGACGCAAACATCTCTACTCTAATATCATTTTTCGTTTATGGCTTGCATCAAAAGTTCGAATTCATTTCGATTTGTATCTGTCAACGAATAAGTTGATTTAAATTTTTAATTATCTTGGACATCCGATGTACTAATTGTCTTTTAATATTCTTATTGGCCGTCTGATTTTATAAGGTAAGCTTTAATACCGATATTTTGTTGAAAATATATATTTTGTACAAGAATTTCTTAAATGAAATGTAAAATTTTAAACATAACCTCAATACATGAATAACAAATGATAACACGTTTTATATATTATATATTATTTTGTTTTGAAGAGATATTATGCTTTATAAATATGTTAAATAAGATTTTTCCTTTTCATATTAATTTTAGTCTCTGTGAAACTATTCACTTAATAGTTTAAATTGTTCAATTATTAGTTAAAGGCATTTTATCTGGTTCCTATGCAAATTTCCTAGTTCCTTTCTTAATATTGTTACCTTTTCCTTGTAGCCTGGCTATATCTAGACGGTTCTGTTCGAGTTATATCTAAAGAAGTTCATTTCGAGTCATCTCTAAGAAGTTTAATTCAAGATATATCTAAAACTGTTTATGGGGATTTCTATCAGAGGTTCAAGTTACATCTAAAGAAGTTTCTGGAGATTTAAGTTTATGAAGATTTATACCTAAGAGTTTGGTGCTATCCGAAGAACTTCGTTCAAGTCCCTTTGAAGAAGGCCTATGCAAATATCTCCTTGTGTACTACCTCCTGTTAAACAGATAAGTCTATTTTTTTGAATAAATCATCTAAATTTGAATAAGTAAATCTCTGTGAATTAGAATTTGTTACTGTCTTATCTAAAACTTGGTTTAAATATAATATCTTAATGGTTAGTGATTTTCTATATTTTTATCACTAATCTATAGTCAAGTATAATAAGTTTTAAATATAGTGGTGCCCAACTTCTTTTTCAAAGAAATACGAGTTATTTAATAACCTGACCCACTCCCAAAATCATTTGAGCTTAAAACACTATAAAAAATTGATAAAATAACAAGTATCACATTACATATTCCAGATCCTTAATCCTAAACATAAAATGGGCTGTGAGCAATAGTGCCAGTGTAGTTCAAACTGAGCTCACGGGATTCTCATAGCAGCAAAAGAAGTTACCAGAAATACTATCACTGTAAGGAACATGCTTATCTATACACATAGCAGACAAGCGCTATTCACCCTAGACAGACCACCAATTTACTCAGAGTTGGTGCTAGAATGTCACCAAGCTTTGGCCGAAGTATCATCAATAATTTGGTCACCTTAAGATGGATTAAAGGTCACGCCACATCGAAAGGTAACCGTCTTGCCGATTCACTAGCCAAGAAGGCAGCCAACCAAATACTTTTTGGACCTGGCCCTTCTATTGGACTGACAATATCGATAGTTACAAACCTAATTAAAGAATATTCCCTTGTGAAATTCAAAGAAAGATAAGATGAAACAAGAATACAAATACTTGACTACGATTAGACAGTATTTACGTCTGATTACAGGCATTCTGACTGGTCATTGCCAACATATGGAAGCAACTCCATAGCATGGTTCTGTCAGAATCCGCACTCTGTAGGGGGTGCAAGAAAGAAGATGATACCATAGTGTATATATTTTCTACGATTGCCCGACGCTCTCAATTATTAGAATTCGGCGAGAATTGGCAAAGTGTTCGGCGAGGTGACTATTTTAGGAGAATGTACAATGGGCCTAGTAAGGCCTAAGTGCCGTGGGGTAACCCACCTTCCACACATTACAGACACAGAGGTAGCGTGTTTATCTGAAGTAGTGAATATAAATTATTCAGTATAGTAAATTAAACATGAAATGCGTTTAGAAGAACACATTTTTCGACCAAAGTTGTACACATTATTTAAGTTAGACAGGACCGTATTGGATGATACATTTTGGAATAAAGTTATTGTAAGTTCCTTATTTTTGAATTTTGTTGAAAAAGTTGTTTAATTTAATGATTTATACACATATTTAATAAAAGTATCAACTTAGGATTCATCCTGTATAAAGATAGAAAAAAGTATATAAAAGTATTTATTACTAAATAAATATACTATTCATTTCAGAAAAAAAAATATGTGTTAATTCAAGCTATAAAGTATAAAGAACGGAGACGTAGGTAGTCTACAGGAAGAACTTCTAAATTACCTAAACTATTTGGCACTTTGGTAAAAAAAAATTCTATAATGATACTAGGTATAAATTTAAAAAAAAATATGTGCAATTTTTGTATTAAATTTTAATGGTTAAAAAATACTTTATTATTTAAATAATGCCTTTACATAATATAGTTAATGCAGATATTTCAAATATTCATTTTAATCGCATTTATTAATTATTTGATTTAATTATTTTTGTTCTATAAATGAGTACTTTTTTTATTTCACGATAAACACTACTAAACCAACAGTTTATATATTGACCATAAGTGTGTCAAGTAACCACAGTTAAGAAAGGTAATTTAATAGGTTTATCACATAAATTCATCATGACTCACATTATGTCTGTAAACGGATGCTACTAGTTAACATTGCATTATTTAAAAGAGTAGATTAAGATACTTAAGCAGCTTGAATTATTGCCATTTAGTCAGACATTTGTTAGTTAGGCAAGTTATATGTTATATGAAAAGAAACTGATTA